TGGCAATAGAAGTAAAAAATATTATATAGTTGAATCACACATTTTGTCTCTTTCAAGTGTTCCAAGATATGTCAGCCTGGTTATATAACTGAAGAAAAATGTATTAGAAAAGGGCTGGAAAAGAGTAAACTTACCTTGTTTGCAGCTACAAGTACTTTGTCAAGAAACCGCAACCATTCAAAGATGAAAACTGGTCTCTTCGCTTCTGTGATTTGAGCCAAAGCCTCTTCATTTAATAACAAGCTGTGAGCAAGCTCCATGGCTGGCTAAATTCTACTTCTGCTGTGGGTGGAATTACTTCCTACTGCATAAATGGAAAAAGCATACCACTCTGAAGAACAGATTTTATTATTATTTCTAGTGGCAGATTTATTTATTTGAATATATTTCTGTGGCATACACAGAACATGAAGCAACTGCATTGTTTAATTAACTATTATAGGATGGGTCTAAATTTAGTCATTCTTAAAGTATGACTAACAAGCAGTAAGGTTTATTCTAAGTATAACTAAATTTGGATCCAACCCCATTTCTATATGTAACATACGTTACATATGTATACATACGTTCTATATGTAACATACGTTATATGTTACATATAACACCACGTGGAAGAATATGGATGGGGATGTTTAGTTGCCTAGACTTCACTTACAACAGGTTATTGGTAATGCAGAGTATTGCTACAAGAAGAGTTTTTTGAGGAGAAATCTGAACAAAGTAAGACATTTGTATGAAGCTGTTTGGGGAGGCATTGACATAAGAGGCAGCAGGGGAGAAAGGGCTGAGTTGTTTTCCTGATTTATGTTGTGAGCCGCCCCGAGGCTTTGTTGCGACTGAGGCAGCATAGAAGTGTTTTAAATAAATAAATAAGGAAATAAGGAAATTTTCAGACAGCTGAGGGTGGTGGAACTGAACAGGAAAAAATTAACAGCAGGGATGTGTCAAAATATAAAAAGGGCAGAGGGTTTTGAAAACAAGGACAAGGAGCCTGTGCAGGACCCAGGTGTGGAAAGAAAGCCACTGCAATGGTTTAATGGACAGAGCAATCAGATAGATGAATATTTTTGGCAGAAGAGTGGTGGATGGATATGAATTGAAATGAGACAATAGAAACGTAGAGACAAGATTACAGTAATTCAAGCATTTGTCTGTGCATTTATCATTGTATTTATAAATCCTCCCATAGTTCATAGGGTTCTCTGGGCTGTGTACAATATAAAACAGAATAAATAACATTGATACTCAATAAAAACAATGAAAAACAGAAATACAAGGGACTCAGCAATTCATCAAGGCTATAACAGAAATAATGAAAGTAACAGTAGTAATAGCTTGAAAACAAGCATCAATAAACAAACATCGAAATTTTTTTAAAACCTAACATTAATTAATCATTAAAATATCTGGCGAATAAAGAGTTTTAAAGTGGCACCAGAAGCAGATCGGGGATGCCACCAGGCTAATCTGGGGAGCATGTTCTATAGCATGAGATGATCAGAGTTTTTGTTGATCATATATCTATAACATAAAGTGAGAAACAAAATGCTTGTTGACGGACTGAATACTGGTGGGGACATGAGCAAAGGAAAGGGGGAAACAGCTATGTGTTCAATCCACAGGGTGGACAGTGATGTTATCAATGAAGTAGGAGTTCTTCACTGTCCCTTTTTGTTTTAACAATCCTAAATAACATATCATCAGAAAAGGTGGTCATTTCTCTGCTCACATTTAACTCCAGATCATTTACGAACAAGTCAAACAGCATTGGTCCCAATACAGAACCATGCACAGGCAGTGAAATTGCAGTGATGTACAGCTTGTGGAAGCCAGATTGGAGGAGGTCAGAAGTGGAATTGGAAGAGAGAAACCTGAGACAGCAAGAGTAAGTAGCACACTCCAGGAATGTACAGAAAAAAGATAGGAGAGAAATTGAATGCTACTTAGAAAAGGAAAATGGGTTAACATAAATAGATAGATATGGGAGAAAATGTACTACATTTGAAAACTGAGTGGAATGGGAAAAGAAAGATTGATAATAAGAGGCAGACATGAAATAATGATAGGGGAGGTGGAAGCTAAGAGGAGATAGAATGAAGAATGCACACAGAAGGGGTAGATGAAGATAATATGGTAGTAAAATCATCTAGTGTTACAGAGGGAAAGAAGTGAGAGTTGAAGGAAGACACATTGCTTATTCTTCCTTGTCCTCCAGGACAGTTTAACGTAGTGATTGTAAAACATCAATTTTGTGTTTGAACAACTTGTCTCCTTTCAAATTGATGCTAGCACTTGGAAAAGCCATCAGATTGTGAGCTTCCTGTAAGATCCTATCTTGTGCTTTTGGAGTTTGGGAGTCGGGCAATGCAGTTGGCAACACTGCATTTTGAAAAAAAAGGTGTTTGATGTGTATATTCATTTCCTTTGACCAATGTTTACTACTACTTCGAGATCCATATCTAACTAGTGGGCTTTTTTAAAAAACCAACTTACGCTGAATTTATTTAAAACATTTGGCATACAACGCTGGGTAGTGCTACCCAATGAGCTTGCCACTAACTCTCTGAACACAGAGCATTATGAACATGGAAAATGGGAGGAACAGAGAGGCTAGGATTGCTTCTGCACTTCTCTTGCCCTGCAAAACATTTAGATAGCCAGTTTCAGCCATCTAAATATTTTCCCTTTCTCATGAGAATGGGAATGAGAGGTTGAAACACTACTAGGATTCTCCAAAAGAAGTGGTACCTGCCTTCTTGCCTATATTGCCCCCCACAACCTCTCCGTGGTGGCTCTGAAAACTGTTTTTCATTTTCAAAGCCCAAAAAGTACAGAAAGAACCACACCAGCTCCGAAGACGGGGGGGGAGGGGGGGCTTCCCAATGTTCAAACATTTTTTGAGATCACAAGTGGGGCTCCAATTTATCCTAGGGTCCCCCCAGACAATATCTTAAGAGGCTAAAGGATTGCATTCTAAGGCAACTAACAAAACAAACACACATATATAACAATAAAACCATATCCATTTTCTGAAAACACCGGCCCAACCTCAGTCAGGTGAAAGCAGAGATCTTGAAAGTTATTAAGAAAGAAACTGGAAATCAATGAATGAATTTTCATATTGGCACAATACATTCCAGCTGGCCAGTTCCAGTCAAACTCCCCTATCCCAAGCTGACTGATAATTCCTAGTAACCTTCGAAAGGTAGACTTATGTATACTGTATTGCATAAATCAAGTCTGAATCCTGTAAGATCATCGATAACTCTGGAAAAACTATCTCTATCTAGGAGGTGCTTTTAGTGAGACATAAATAAATGGAAAATGCTTTGAGCAACATTTGGGCCTCCAAATTAAGGGTAGGATATAAAAGGAACCCCCAAGCTTCCAAAAGAATTCTTAAGATGAGTGCGACCATCAAGAACAGACTGAATACCACCTCTTGGACCAGTTAAACTACCCATCTATTAACCCTAGGCAAGCCAATTAATACCACTTATTTATTACATAAATCTGATGTGCATAAGAAAGGTAATCCATGAGAAAGCCAGTGAAGGCTATATATAATCAAAACATGAAAAAGGTGACAAACATATAATGATACACAATGGTGAAGCAGATTATCTGGAACAGTCAAGTCTGGATGTAATACCAGTACACAACCACCTCAGGAAAATCCAGCTGTACTGAGATTAAACACGCATTGTATCATACATGCACAGCAATAGGAAACTGTGGTCAGCCAGGCTAAGATTTATTGCGAGGTAATGTATGACTAAAAAGTGTGTGATCAGGGCAAGAGAGATGATAATGACGCAACGAGAGCTGCAACGCTAGGTTCAGGTGCAATGACTGCGAGCTGGGACTGTCTCCAGTTTCCTTTTGGCTAATGGGGGCGAGATAAAAAATCTAAGCAGCAAATAAATAAACTCCTCAGAGCCCCATTCAGTCCGGGAGAAGGAGAAATAACTCGGCCGTGCATACAGTCCCCAGACAGGGACCTCGGAGAAGCCAGTTAATCCTGAGCTGGGGGAACCCCAGTCAGAGTCACCATAAGGCAGCTTCACGTCCTATCTCACGGCTCTGGCAGGTGGCAAAGCAGCCTCAGAGACAAGACTCTCTCCCCCTGCCCGCCCTATACCGAGCCCACTCTCTACCCATTGGAAGCAGCCGTTGTCCTCTTCCTCTCCCTCACTGGGGATCCACTCAATCTCCGGCCCCGCCCGCTAGGGACCCCCTTATATTGGCCTGGTACCCTTCCCCACAAAAAGCAAACCCCGCATCTCACAGACCGACCGACCGACCGACCTTTTCCGACAGTTCACGGCACCGCAGGCGACTGCGGCGTTTAACAGAGCGAGGTAAGCCCCCGCCGCCGCCATGGCGTTCAAGGCGACTGCCGACCCTCTTCCCGGCCAGCTGAGGAAACCGCGGCTCAGGCGCAAGCGCAGTCGAGACTCCGGAAACAACCGGCAGAAGAGGCGCATGCGCAGCTGCCTCAAGCCTGAATTGTGGCCTGAAGACGCAAGCCCGCGTTGTGAGAAGGGAAAGAAGAACGGGGGGCGCCTGGAATCCGTGTCGGTAAGGAAGGCATGCTTGCACCGTACCCGGCGAATGTTAGGGTCGTCGTGGCTGCACTGCTTCCTGCAGAACGTGGCTGGGAGGGTGCTCTTGTCCTCAGGTCCTTCATGTAGATTGCCAGTGTGCATCTGGTTGGTCCCTGTGGGAGCAACATGCTGGGCTAGAGGGACTAATCCAGCCCGGCTCCTTTGAGGTCCGTTTCGTAGCTCTGGGGCCGCAGGCGGTATGTTCTGAATCCCGAGTTTCTGGCGAGCAGGAGTGGAAAGAAGGTGCCATTGCCCCGCTCAGCCCCTTCTTGTGGTCGCTGACCACTAAGAGAGCAGTCTGCTGGACAGAGGAGCCTTTGACGCAGCAGGTTTCTTCTTATCTTCAGGGATACAGTGAGGGACAGAGATGAGCCTCAGCTTCAACAGGTTGTGTACTTGGGAATAAGTTCCGTTGAATGCAGTTGGGTTTGCTGCTCAGTAAACAGGATGAGACTGAGCTCCACACTGTTCAGTGAAGGGCACACTCGGAAAACAGTTGCATTTGGAACTGTTTCCCCGTGAAATTTTGTCAAACTCAATTAATTTAATGGTTTGCTATCCCCGAAATGTGACTCTTTGTACTGGAACAGTAAGGGGAATGATTGCTTATTCCTGTAAGGGGCTCTGAAAATAGGGGCAACTGTTCGCTTTTTTCCTTACTGTATAGCTGTAAAGAAATCATGAGGATGAGCCTTTGTAAGGTGTCTGACTATGCTTTCCTTTGTTGCTGGCCCTGATCATGTGGTTCCATAAAAACACATGTATTATGGCATACATGTTACGTACTAAAAACTAGTTCATCAGATGCATGCAGTATTCTTCTCTAAGCATTTAAAAGTGGACCATCATCCACAAATTTGTGGTATAATACACATGTTATTGCAACAATGCAGGCTGGCAGCACTGTCTATTGGGAAAGGAAGCAATGTGGTCAATGGCAAATGGTTCAAAAGAAGTGCATGGGAGGGCTTTAGTTGGTAGTAATTTAATTTTGATATCTAGGCCACTAATGCTTGCTGAGTGAAACAGTTTTCACAGACTAGTGGGTAGCCTGACTGGCATGATGATATTAGGCACAGTATGGAGTGCAATGGGATTAGAAACATGATGAGGTCTTTAAATAAAGACCAAATTAAGGGGTTTGGTCTACAAGCTAAAATTGAGGAACCACAGTCCTAATTAAGCACTAATATAAGAAATGGACCAGTTATAGTGGTGTGAGATTTAAAATAAAAAAAAAAATTCACCAAATCTTATTTTCAATCCATTCTAATAATGAGGAAAGTATCATCTATAGACAAGAAGTTTGCACGTGGAGAATTGATACAAATCATGGATGACACAGAAGAGGACTACATGTCAGATTCCTTTATTAACATGAAGTAAGTGGAACATTTTTCTAAATTTGTCATCATGCTTGTCATTACCTAATTGTAGTTGCAATTGCTTTGTTTCAGATACCTAATAAATGAATGGAAGCTCTGGTGAAAGATATTAGTAATATGCAGAATGCTTCAGACTGATATCTTCCTAGAACAATTCTGGAAAATCTATGAAAACAAATGCTGTTCAGATCAATGTACACTAACATGTATCTACTTTCTGTTGTTTGTTTTAGCACACCTTTGCATGCACTATTTTTTAAACCAGGCCTATCTTTTGAACAGATTGCTTTTCCATCCCTTGTGTAGTTCCCTTTTCTACATTGAGAATAACTACCACAGTAGTTTAGGTAGTTTAAGTTTTCCTTTTCAATCACAGAATGATTGAATCACTATTTCGAAACCAAGGAATAAATAAATGAGAAGAACTTGGCATCAGAAATGATGGCCACATTCGGTCAGTTATCCATGGCATAATAAACCATGACTTATGTAGCTGTGGGTTAGAGCCATAATGCTCCTCCTTTCCCTTCCTGTTGGCTTCAGTGCAAAAATCCTTTCTTAGCCCTCCTATTGCACAGCAACTTTGGCACAAAACTCTGTGCTGTTATTACTGAAATTGTGTTTCCTCAGGTTTCCTAAACTAAGCCTTAACACACTGCAGGATCTTCATCAGGTTCTGGTGCACCTGAAGCTGGTGCACAGAAAGAGAAAGACAAGGGGAGAGCACGTGACCATTGTGGTCACCCACAGCTTCACAGGTCGTGATTTATGAAGCCTGCATCCAAAGGTGACCAGTGACATTTGGAGCAGAAACCTGTACAGAAACCTGTCCCTTTCCTCTTGCCAATTAAACTAGAGTTTAGCTTTCTGCTACAAAGCTGTCCAGTTCCTGAGATGCAGCTCTGTTGTAGGAATGATGTGAACATTTGCCTATAAAAGTATCACAGTGACTGAGCTGAGGAATTTCAGCCAGTTTACTGGATTTCAGGGGTTAAGGAGCATGGTGTGAGTGGTTCATGAAATTACCACAGGGATGGTTTAATCCAAAAACCAGGAAAGTACATTGGTAATAAAAAAATTTCCCCTTACTGTGGGACAGAGTGAGTCCTGATGTTCCTTGGATATGATAGCATCACTGGAATACTGAAGCACCCTGCATGTCACCAGCTCAGCTCAGCCAAATGTTTGTTACTGCATTCCAGGCAATGGTGAGCCAGGTTCTTGCAATGCCACCCAGAGTTTCCAGCCTTTTTGGATCACATGCATAGTTGGCATTTCGGAGAGGTGCCTTGGACCCCAGCACAAATTGGCTGCTGTGGGCAAGGGGATCAATCACAAAAATATTAGGAGTGGCCCTGTGCATGTATGAATGTGCAGGTTCTGTGTGCACGACCCATTCTGGTTTCTCTTTTCTCTTTGTCTCGTTCTGTTTCTCCTTGGTGTGTGGTGCTCTTTGTCATCCCCTTCATAAAGCATATGAAGAATTCCTCCATAGGCTTTTACAGGGAGTGAAAATATCTTGCTGGGTGCCTTATTGGAGACCCGTGCTCTTATATACCAGTGTATTGCTTTATCATGGGGAACTGATCATACCATGTAAGCTATTTAAATACACCCTCATCATAGCAGAGAAGTCAGAAATAATGTTCTTTCAAGAATTCTGACATGTTATAGATTTAGTGGCATCCTCTGTAGAGACTGTACTATTACTGTATGGCTGACATCCTATGCATCCTTACCTGGGTTTAAGGGGCGTTGAACACTATAGAACTTACATACTTTGAGTAATCATGCCTGATTTACTCTGATCACTGATTTTTTTAACCTGATTATTTAGGATACCCTCACAGGTGTGTTACTGGACACAATAGGACTTCCTTTTAATTAGATATGAATAATAAGATTACAGTATTGTAGTTACATTTGGTTCACTGAAGAGGATCTTGTTGACATTTTAATATTCCTTCTCTCCTTTGAATTGCTTTATGATTATCTGGCTTTCTGGTTTTCTTCAGCCAGGACGTCAGGCCCGGTATGCCAATGTTAAGGCGTGTAAGAGAAACGTTTAGAAAAGAAGAAAAACAAAAAGAGGCCAATGAAAAAAGTCGGCAAAAGAGCATAAAAGAGCAGGAAGAAGAGCAACGTGAGACTGTCTTAAACATCGCTTTGGGAAATGAGAACAAAGGCTTTGCTATGCTTCAGAAAATGGGATACAAAAGTGGCCAGCCTCTTGGCAAGAGTGGTAAGTTCCTTGCTGTGCAGTTCTCAAAATGTGTCTCAACAAAGGGCATCTCCTGCTTTTTGCATCAGCTTGTGAAAAATGTGCAGCTCATGAGTCTCTAAAATGTGCTTCCCAACAACTTTGCAACTGGCAAAATCATGGGAGAGTCAGACCCCAGCCTGGCTTAGCTGCAGTAACAGCAACACTGGAAAAGGGTATACAACCAAGGGCTGGTTAGCAAAGAATGAGCTTACATAGCAAGTAGGTTTGCCTATGCAGCTAAAACACAATTGGATTCTTGACACCTAGAAATGTTGCTGCAGACTCTTGACATCTAGGGAAAATAACCCAGCACTGATTTAGCATAATGTTAAGGCAAAATATATGTTTCAAACAGAAACACAAAGCTTATTGCAGGGGCAAGGCCTGCTATACATATCATACCAGTGCAGCACCCTAAGGGAACTTAAGGGAAAAGTAGAAATTCTAAAAGTGCTTCCCCCTAAGTTATAGAGAAGGATGAGTTACCTGATCCAGTTTCTGTTTACTGTGTCATGTCAGTGGCAGAGAAGGTTAGGAATAGGACAGGTACGTGAAAGATTGGAGAGGACCCATGCAGTCTGAGATTTGGACCAAGGAGACCAATGTTAGTCCTACTTTGAGTATGGCCACTGAAATGAGTGGGAGTTAAAGTTGTTTGGACAAATTTAAGAGTCCCTTGTGTCAGAGGGTCTGTTCTAAGTTCAGCTAACATTAGATACAACCCTTAGACTGAAAATTTTGTTCTGCACAGAAGTTCAGTAAGTGGCCTTGGGTGTTCTGCTTGTTCCCTATCTACACTACCTTGCAGGGTTATTGGGGGATAACGTGTGATGTGTGACGTGTGATGTGTTCCTTAAAAGAAGTAAATATCAGTGTGCCCAGTACTATTGGTGATTGTAAGTTATGTGCTCTCATCAATGGAATACTCTCATTTTCCACAGGGAAGGGTATTGTCGAGCCTATTCCTCTGAACATTACCACAGGTTGGTGACACATCTACCTTCTTTAATGTTTTTTAGTTCAGACATGACATTGCTCCACATGTTAAACCAGTGCTGTGAACTTGGAACAGGTAGAAGTGGGCTTGGCCATGAAGAAGTGAAAAAAAGAAAAGCCGAAGAAAACCTGGAAAACTACAGAAAAAAGATGCATATGAAGAAACAGGCTGACAAGCAGACAACTGACCTCTTCAAGTAATGTGCCATTTTGAACATCTTCCCTGCAAATTGCATGCATAATATTTAGGGGGAGGGCACAGCTCAGTGGTAGAACTTCCCAGGTTTAATTCCTGCCTGGGGCCCCTATTGGAATCCTTGGTGAACTGCCAGTCAATCTAGTCAGTACTAAGCTAAGAAGGACCAATGGTATGGCTTGATTTAAGACCACTTTTTCTGTTCCTCTGGTGCACTATGAGGAAAGAATAAGCCATGCAGCCATGTCTTCTGGCTAAGTATGCATGCTTAAGTTCCAAATCTCTATGACTGTTTCTCAGACAGGCTTACTCTGGATATTTAAGATCAGGTTTGCCAAAACAAATTCTGATTTGCAAAAACAGATGTTGCTTTCTTAGAAGAAATGCAGCTAAATATGGCACTTTCTTCACAAATAATATATGTGAATCTTCCTTCTCTGCCTATCAAGAGCAGTTACCTCCAAATGGGGTGGGAAGAACCCTGTCCTTCCCTGTCAGGCCTACTCTGACCTTGCACACCATTGTGGAACTGGGTGGGTTACAAGTCAGGTGTAATGGGGGCTGTCCTGAGTTTCATGTTGCTGTATCCAACATGCCACTTCTTTCTAGACATGTAGTGCACAGGTCCTATGCTTGTTGTTTATAGCCTCTGCAACAGAGTAGCTCTCTATATACAGCAAGGTGAAGGAGGGGAAGTCCTCAGGTTACTGTGAATGAGCATCTGCTCACAAGGCAGCGGAATATTCTGATGAAACTCCCATTCACAACGGTTCATGTAGCTGTTCGTGGTGGGAGGGGGGCAAGGTTCACGGCCACTGGTATTGCCTTCATTGGCATAGTCCCATTCAAAATGACCTTTTATTCTTCAGTGAATGCTGTAATTTGATGATTGTCTGCAGCAGGGTGGGCAATATGTGCCCTTCCTGTTGTTGGACTAGGACTCCTCCCAGCCCTAGCCAGTCTAGCCAATGGCAAGGAATTATGTGAATTATCTAACAACATCTGAGGGTCAGTTATTCCTCTTCCCTGACTATAGGGCATAAAACTGTGTGTGCTGTCCAACTACCCCCCCCCCCCGCACACACACACACTGTGTGCCTCTCTCTGCTTCCATATGCACAGGGAGGGACAAAAATTACTGATGACAACAACCTTTGCTTTTTACGAGATACTGCCATCTTCATCCCTGGGAAAGGGTCGTTTCAAAGGGATGTGACTTGAAGGGGAGCTTAACAGACCCTGTGTGACAACAAAGCAGCTGCTTACACTGATCTAGCTCCTAGAATGGTTTAAATGTGAGGGTGGAATTCTATGGAAGATTTGCAGAGATGTACACCATGCAAGGGTCGCTTTCACTTCCACAAAGCAACCTACAAACTCCCCATTCATAGTTGTTAGCATGAGATCCAGTCACAGACACTTGGGTGTTTGCGGGTTAAACAACCCAAAATTAGTCTATGATTTGTTCTTAGGTTAGCTTTGGCTTGTTTTACCCACAAAGCCCTCAAGGGGTCTGGGTTAGGATTTCGTACTAGCAATCTATAAATGAAGTATTCATAGGTGGTTTCCACAAAGCTGCTGTTTGTTGAACTAGCTTAGGAAATAGGTTTCTACCTGTTACACATGTTACACATTTTTGCAGTTGTGGGTTAATTAATCTGCTGTCATGCAACACAAAATAGCCCATCTGTGATCTCTCAACTAATTCTGAACACAGTATTTTCTTTATGTGTATTGATAGATTTTTTTTTAATTAAAAGAATGAGACTGAAGACCAAACAGGAGCAACTACAAGTAAAACGAGACCTTGAGAAAAGTCAGAAAGCCTGTCAACAATTAGATATGCAGAAAGTAAGTTAAAAAGCCTCATTTATGTTTATGCATTTGTGGATCAAGGTTCAGTACTGGGGTTTGCACAACCTTATTGCAGCCTGGCAAATAAGTAGGCAAAAAAATACAAAATAAATTACAAACCTGTGTACCCACACACATTATTGTGAGGCAATTGTGCCCAAAAAGTCAGAGAATTATATGCGACTTAAACATTTTCCAAATAATATTTTACTTTTTCACTGAATATACAAAATTAAATTTGCAACCCCTCCCCTCTTTGCTACAGTGCTTTGGGGTACATTTTAATTTTATTTGTAGTATGACTTTAAAGTCCATTTTTTAAAGTGCCCCCCCACCCCCCAATTGTGCCAAGGTACACCTTTTTGTGTTACAGTATTGCTAAGAAACTCATGCATTGGCATGTCAGTTGATCTTGATACATGTTTGTTTTTCAGGGCCTTGAACACCCCAAAGAGATTTGGTACTGGTTGAGAGCAGGGGGTGAAAAAGATGATGATGAGGAGGAGGAGGAGGAGGAAGAGGAGGACAAAGAAGAAGAACCCAAAGTAAGTATGTTCAGTTACTGTTCAAAGCAACTGCTCTCATGTGGCTGGAAGTAGCAGTTCCTGTTTCTAGTTCCATAGTAAATCACCAGACCAGATGACAAGCAAGTAGACGGCAACAGACATTAATGCCAAATGACATTATGAAGTGAGAACAAAAACTATGGTCGCAGGTAGTTTGTCTCAGTTGCAGCAGCCCCTTCAGAGCATAGAGAGGCAGCGTACACAGAATTCCTACCCAGTGAGTGCTTGCTTCTCCTGGGTTGATGTGGATCTTGCATGTCCTCAGCAGAGAGAGGAGCTCTCACTGCTCCCTACAGGCCCACATCAAACTGCCATCCCGCTCTCCAATGATTCCACTTCTCAGTCCCCTCACCTTTCTGTGCTCTCTTTCTCTGCCTCCTTCCAGGCAGCACCTGCTCTAGGATACCCTTTCTCAGATTCACGCAGACTGTCAGCTTTCCTCTGTTTTAACCTGCTGAATTTTTTGCTCCTTCTTCAGCAAACCTCTGCCAAGGACAAAAGGATTCTTTTTCCCATCATACACAGCAATATTCTGCCATTATATACATTTTCCTCTAAGACATAACCCATTTTGCTTCCTTAAATCTGTTTCATATTTCATGGCTGGTGGATCATACGAAGTCTGTGCGGTGGAGATTTGTTCTGGTTTCCTGTTGCAGCAGGTTGTCATATCTGCTTTTCTTTGGCTATACATTTTCTTCTCAAGGCTAAAGAGCTAAACCTCTAAATAGCTATCACATACAATGACTGTTTCTGGTACTTTTTTGAAGCTACAGATAGGTGACAGAGGAAGTACAATCTTAGCAAGATTAGGATTAAGGAGATCTGGCACTGCTTAATGATTATGATTTTTGAGTTTTGTCATTGGTGTCATCCATGTTCTCAGTTCTGCAACAGTGCATTCACCCTCGGTCATCTCATAGCATCACTATGGTCTGGATATAACCTTAAATTGTAGTTTAATGCTGGGGCAGCTGACTCCAGTCTTGTGCTCATACACTCTGCCCACAAGGCAGAGATGGAAGCATTACCTTCCTGTTTTAAAAACTAACTCTTTTTGTGTTTGAACTGTGGAAGCTCTGGATTGTTTAATCCGTGGTTTATCCAGCAAGCCGGATTTATGATCCTAACTTCTTAACTTGAATCATAGTTCAAACTAGTCAGTATTGCTTAACTCAGAGTGAGGAACTTGTTAGTTTATATAGCAAGAAACTAAAGCTGCAGTCTTCTCCTTGCAGCTGTATTGGAGGAGAGGGGAGACTTGTATGAGCCCAAAACTTCCTTGTGCGTACAGTGTAAACCATGGCTCTGCAGTTATAATGACAGGCTTTCTGGCCATGCATACCACCATCCAATTGGTCACCTGAGATCTAGGTCTGTAGGCCCACATGATCTTATTTCCAGAAGTCACTCTGAAAATATGAAAGGAGAAAGGTCATGTAAAAATGCAAGAGTGGTTTTGTGGGTGGGGGAGACTATTAATTCGATGGGGAATGAGAGGGACCATCAGGGCTTGTCACCTCACATGGAGTGTCCAGGTGGAGGGAGAACACGGTGAGGCTGCCTGCAAGGACTCACCGGAGCCCTGACTCCAGACCGACCGAAGTAACGGTGGCGTGGAAAAAGCCAGAAGCTGGAGAATGGTGTGGAGGCCAGGGTGAGCGGGAAAACATGGAATAGCTGGCTGGGGGAGGGGCAGCAAGTTCAAGTGAGGGAAATAAAGCACGGCAAGAAAGGGGAGGGGGAGGAGAGGCGAGTGGAGGAAGTAGGCAGCTGGCATGACAGAAGGATGGTGGAGGTGAGCAAGCAAGGGACGAGTGGCTGCAGATGACTGGCCCTTCAGACGCCTGCCCCTGGGTGAGGATGTGCACTGGGCTGGCTCAGGACCCCAGGGAACGGGGCAGAGGCCAGTGTCAGGAAGGAACGGTCTGCTTGGGGCAGAGGAGCAGCAGGAATGCCTGGAGGAAGAAGCTCCATCCTGGCTGGCTGGAAGCTCAGAGGCACATCCAGGGAGCCTGTAGGAGTCTAGGGGCGGCAGGAGCGATGGCTCTTGCTGCTCTGGGCAGCAGATAGGAAGAGAAACACCCAGCAAGGCATTGGGTGTGGGAGACAGCCTTATGAAACAAGGACTTGTGTGTAGGCATTCAGCTGTATTCCTAAGCACCAAATAATGCCATTAAACATGTGCTGGGAGTGTGTGTGATGATGGAGGCAATGGAACAGGGGGGTTTGATGTTCCCCTCCCCACTTACTATGTGGCAGGGAACAAAATGGCAAATTTAATACAATTCACGATATAACATTCAAAAGTATAGTTAAGTATAGATTGAGTATATAGCCCAGCATGAGAAATGGGTCTTGGGATGCTGAATACAGACTTGTTCTGTGTGCCAGAATAGAGAAACTGTGTCCAGGGGAATTCTTAGGGGAAACCCTTATGCTTACCAACTCTATGGAAACTTGGAAGGGAAATAACCTGGTGTGAAGGCAGCAGCATGGTAGGTCAAACAGCAGCAGCTATTTCAGGTCATTGTTTTGGCTGGAGCCGGAGGTCAGACTAGATGGCCCGGGAGGCCCCATCTGACTCGCTCTGTTTCTATGTTTTCTGCAAACCTGCTTGGGCATCTGTGTGGCCAGCTACTCTAGTTCAGTCTTATCTGTGGGACTCACAGGTAGCCAAACCCTTTTTCTTACTCAGTGGAGCCAAACTTAGCTGGCTTTCCATATTTTCCCTGTAGTTCTGCGCCCAGGTTTGGTGAGCTGATGCAGCTCAGTGTCTCCATCTACCTCTTCCCATCCCCATTGTTAAGGAATAGAATAAGTTGCAGAGAGGTCATTTTTACCAGTGAGGAAGGAGTGCAGAAAATTAGGATGGAGTTTGCTGGGTTTCCTTGTCCCAGAAATCCTTCAGACTACTTGCAGTTTACCATACTGCTTGCAGAGGTACGTGCAAAGAATCTCAGAAATACCAAAATAAGAAATGCTACCTTTGACATTTTTGCCATGGATTATCAGAGTACATTAATTGTTTCTCTGTTGGCAAATATTTTGTAAGTAACTAGAGTTTTGGAATACACAAATTGCTCTGTTCTGGACTAATAGATGGCTGCATTCTGGTTGCGTTCTCATATGCACACAAGGTGGAAAGTTGGATTTTTACCTTTTCACTTATTTCTGATGGGTGCTATGCTTTTTCGTTTCAAAAATCACTGGTGTTTTTGATAACTGCTGTTCTTGAGCAACATTCTCAATGCTTGTGGTTTGATGACTCCAACCTAGTCAAACAACTAAGCTAAATGTTAAAATATTTGAGGGAAAGTCTACCTGTTAATATTCCTTAAACCTTTGGAATGGTGACTAAATCAGGTGTTGCATGTAATTGTGTTCCAGTAAAACTGTGTCCTGTTGGGAAGCCTCAAGTTGTAAGTTCTGAACACTGTCGCATGTGAAGTTGGAGGGAATTCAACTTCCCCTGCTCCACTCCCATCCCACCCCATTGGCCAGCATGCTGGAGACTCTCTATCTTGCCATTTTCCAGAGGTTGTGACTTGGCTTACATCAGTTGTCTGATGTCGTTTCCCTTTTGGCAGTGCTTTATGACTGAGGAAAATTTTGGCCTGGTTCTTTTGAACAGTGTTGGTGTTCTGCCTAACTTTGTACCATCTTTTTTGAGAAAATGAGACAAGACATAAAGTCTCTTTTAATCATCTGAGTCTCAGTATCCCCCATTACTTTAAAACACCTTTACAAAGATGTCATGTAAAAAGTGAGTGATAGAGCTCACACTGGAAGAGGCTGGCATTACATTTCTTGGGGCTTCTCTACATGAGGGGTTTAACCTGCTGCTTTAAATCAAGGCTTCTTCAGTTTTCATTGCATGAAGGAAACAGTGTCCTTTACATGGCTTTTCCCCCAGGATTTTGTATTATTCTGCCTTTCTGCTCACCAACCACCAAATGGGGCTATGGCATAGCTGGACTATGACTTTTCATGAGGCTTTTGTTCCATAATGTTGCAGTATAAAATTGAAAACTAGACTTTCCTCACTCTTTTTTTTAAACTTTCTAAAAAGGCTGGAAAACACAGGAGGCACTCATAATGTCATGAAAAGGCCCTATGAAGTTCCATGAGTGAGGGATTGCCAGAGTATTGTGTGCCTCATGTAGAGAAGCTATTAATGCCAGTCAAAACATGATTGGAGACAAAGCAAAATGTGGTCGGACAGTTCTAAGAAGACTTTCTTCTAAATTGGAGTAGTCTGTGAGTCTGAATCTTTTATAGTCTACCTGTTAGCTAGGCTTTTCAAACTGTAGAAAATCCTTGTTGTTTATGTAGGTTTGGACCCAAACATTCACAAAACAGGACAACTCTTTCCACTCAGGGAAGAGACCAAGATCCATCAAGGATCTTGCAGATTGCAGGGAGACAGCTTCCACCAACTCTGTCTTCCGATTTCTGTACCACCACCTCCTGTTCCATGGGATCCTGCAAACCCTGGGGCAACTTTCCCAGGAATGCAGGGGAAAGGGGAAATGGAAAAGCATTGCCTCTTTCCTTACATGGGTCAGGAGTCTAAATCCAACTTGTTTAAATAAAACGTTCCATCTCCAGAATGAGACCAAATATAAGGCCTTTCTCAGATTATTAGATCCATTTTGATAAGAATGCATGTGAACCGTAACTTACTTTTTTCCTCACAGGAATCAGAAAAGTTACAGATTTTGACAGCATATCTAAAGGAAGAACATCTCTATTGCATCTGGTGTGGAACAGCTTATGAAGGTAACATAAATCTGTTTTTACATTTAACTTCCAAGTAGTAATTTAATTTGGGCTCTAAATATCTAAGTGTATGTGGCCTCTGGCAGAACTGATAAATGCCATTCTAATTACAGTTATCACTTGAGAACAAGAATGCTATTTAATCTGGTTATTCAAGACATGCAACATACTGTACAAAAAAAAAAAAAACAAAAAACCCCAAACCTAACCTCTTTCATTCTAGTTTTAATCTGCAACTTAGGTCAAAAGGTCTTCATCTTTGCAAGGAAAGCATTTATACTCTATGTAGCTGCTATTGTTTCTTTAAGCACCCTAAAGCTGGTCATATAGGGGGAAATCTGATTATATTTGTTGCTGGAATGGCATCTGTCTCCACAGCAAATTTCTCTATCCCATGTCCTCCATTTGCTTTGGAGGGCTGGTGTGCAGCATGGAGTAGAGCTCTTGCAAGGACAGATTTCCACTCTCACAGCATTGGATGGAGCTCAGTGTTCTTTATGTCTGTACTTCCAACTTCCTCTTAAAGACTGAAAAAGAAATTGTATGCTGCCCTTACAGATTTAGCCGAGTTTGAGGATGCTCACTATAACAAATTGAAACACTTGCTTTCAGTAGCATTGGAACCTATACAAAAAAGCCCTAAATATGACTCAGTTTAATCGAAATGCTCTTTCCTTGTATATATGTGGTATTTTCACTTTTAATTTTGCAAAGTTCATTTTTCCTACAAGAATTTGCACAAAGTGTTTGTGTGGACAGCATTTATGATACTTCTTTCTAATCTTCCAGATCAAGAAGATATGTCTTCAAATTGCCCTGGAGACACATTTGCAGATCATGAATAATCTTCCTAAAATGCAAAACAGTGTCAAAATGATAGACAAATTCAGAGGACTGCGTATTTTTATAGGGGCACATGTTTTGTGGGGTGTTTGTGTAGTTAAATGGAACTGCTTCCCGAGCTCCTGCTCATGTGGAAAAATGGATATAAAACCTTAACTCTACACACTAAGAATCCTGTGACTAGGACTTGTGTAAGCTGTTGGCTGTTTTCTGTGCAAGTTGCATGTTTCCCATTTTTAAACACTGTCTACCTTCAACAAAGACAGCCAAGGCTCTGCCTTCCTTCCCTGCAGCAAGGATGGAATGTCATTTTTTTGCCAAAGGAAACAAGAAGCTGAGAAGTTCCTGTATTTCAGAGGTAAAATGTATGCCACAATTCTATGGCTTCCAACATTGTCTGGGGCTTTAGGATTATTTGGCCTCAGGCAATGAGGCCTTGGAGTAGGGCTCCAGAGTCCCTTGCCCTGCCTGCCCCTCTGAGGGCCAAACGAATGCTAACTGGCTCTTAAGGTTGGAAACCAGTCTTGGAGATGAGGAAAAGGTCATGCTGGTGCATGGGAAAGGAGAAGAACTAGGGCTGGTGGCTTATACTGTATTCAGATGGTGCCCCAGAAAATGGCTGTCCAGATGGAACACAGAGCATGAAGCACAGTACTGGAGAATGTCCCTGCCACACCTAATGCCCTGCATTGGAAACACATAGGACTCCATCTGCAGAGCCTTATGTGCATTAGATTGTGCACTAAGCGTGTGTATTTGTGTCTAATGTTAATCCTATTTACTTCCCATTCATTTCTATACGTCTCTATAAGTAGATCATAGCTGACTTGTCCTATTTATTTCAGTGGATAATAAGCAAAGTAGGATCATCATTGAAAACTGCTCACATATATAATACCTTAAAACACACAAGGCACTATCCAGTACTACCCACAGGATCACAGGACATGCTCTGGCAAGAGGGAAGCTAGCAGATCTTGAAGTAAATGGAATCGAGCCAAAATACTCATTTCTGGAACTGGCAGATCAGTGGGACATGCAGACACAAGCTGTACTAGTCTTCCCATTCTACAAAGCAACATTTCCAGGGTTGCTTTAAGAAGTCTGTGGTTAATCCTTGCACAAGAAAAACAATATAGCACCAACACATGTGGAATTGAGACATTCATGTTGGCATTCATGGGAATGTTACTGAACTCAATAGGACCTTCATAGTAAACATACTGCTTAAGTATTTTTCTGTTGGCCATATTGCCTGTTGTTGAAGGTTAACAAGCCCTATTATTAAGGCTACCAGCTAAGGGGAAGCATTACTGTTGAGCAGATCTTTCTTCTAGGGTGTTTTCTAAAGAAATTGGCAATGCAGCAATTTTATTTCTGAATATAATTTATTAGAATTGATGAAAGCAGTAACATAAGCTACATGTACTAGAACAGAATAGCAACATTAATTTCCAAGACATGAGACATACAATTTCAGTAAAAATAGATCTTAATACTAAAACCTGCTTCTAGTGATAATTTAATACAGATAAAGTGCTGTATCAGTGAAATAATTCAGATGATTAGTATAGCTATGCATATGTAATACTTGTAAAACAGTGAAATGTTCTGTCCAGTATGCGTACCAAAGGAAGTTTGAGGGGCAATCACCCTAACAGCACAACTATCTTCTTAAATCTCTGTCCTGATTCCTACGAGTGCAATATTAATTCATGTATTATGTATGCACATTTGTCATTGTGCTGATCCAGGGAGTTTTAACTGCTCATTTGGGCTGCTTGAGAGAGTCTCACAGGTAAACAGGTAATTCGAATGCTACCAGAAACATGCATCTACTTGAAATCTATAGTTCGAAGTGAAACATTATGGTCCTATCTGAGCTCCTCCTCCAGTTCTGAATTGTGCAATACTGACTACAACTGACAGGTCTTGTAAAGCATTTTGTAAAATGATTTTATTTAAAACTGATACAAAACATTTTTTAATACTTGTAACACACTTTTAATGCTGTGGGCATACAAGACCATGTTGTAGTTCTGCATGGACCAGTTAATATAAAAGTATCAGCAATACAAGACAATATTCCAGATTATTCACTTTTAAAAGTCCTGCCTTAGATACCAGTTTCTCTAGTGGTATATTTAGAAAAGACTGATTCATAGATGTACAAGGAATCCATTGGGGGTGGGAGTCTATTGAATTCTCTGGGCTTAACTTGCTTGACCCCATTATCTTTGCAGTGGCCCTGAATAGGAGTTCCTGGGAAGTCACAGAATCAGAGTTGGAAGGGACCAGAGGGTCCAACCTCTGCTCAGTGCAGGACTCCCAAGTTAAATAGAATCAAAGCAGAGCTGGAAGTCTGCCCAGTGTTTGCAGAGCACTCACCAGGAATCAAGTCTCACATGCTTCATAAGCAGCACTCCCCTTCTATGCCAGTGCAGCTGCCAGCAGTTCTAAGTACCCCAATGTGAAGGAAAGTTGGTTGTCAAGATCCCCAGGAATGGTGCTCTGCAAAAGTGCCAGCAGTGCCCCTCTCCCATACCTGCTGGTGGCTTCAGATGCTGAAGGTTGGTTGCCAGGAATGGTGTCCCATGTGACTCCTAGCAGAGCCCCTCTTGTGTATTTTGCTACACTTTACAGGGAAGGTTGCCAGTTGTCCCAACCAGGTCTCTGTGAGCTTCCTTGGTCTTTCTCTCAGTTCGGCTTCCCTAGACTGAATTATGGCTTCATGGGAAAGCCAATTTATAGCTAACTTTCAGAAAACTCCAGCGGCAACAGCATCAGGTTTCCCTACAGCACAGACTTGGTTTGCATGGCATGAAACCCACCATGGGAAGCCAGCTGTAGGGGGTTATTGGGTCATCTAAACCCAGCACAGTCTCTGTAAGGTCAAAGGGAACTGAAAACTAAAATAGGTAACAGATCCAAAAATTGACAAGACAAAACTACACCTACTTTTGCTGCCTTTTTTCCTTTGGTGCTTTTCAACTGGCAGTTTGCAACTCTGTACAAATTATCCTATATGTACTCTTGTCAATTTCAATATACTCCACCACTTCCATTGACAGCATACTTGTGAAAAACTAGACCAAGAAACAAACACCTGCAAATTGCATGCACAGTTGCACAATTTTTAGGGGCCTGGAAAGAAAAACTCCAATTGTGTCTTTCAGAAGCTTAGGGGAAGGGGAAAGTGGCAAATGGAAAGGCGAACACTTAGTGCAGAGAGGGAGAGACAAGAGTTGTGCCATGAAGGACACTCCTGGCTGGAGGACTGAAGGAGAGAACAAACCATAGTTAAGTCTAATCATCTGTCGGGTGTTCCGTATACTGTAAGTTGCTCAGCAACCAACCTGCCCATCATGGCTTATTCATAGCTGGCTTAATAAGAAATATGAATGTATTCGCAGTCTACTGTGATAAGGACGTCTAAACAAAAGGGTCTTGCTGATCTACAACAATGTTTACACAAGCGTCCAAACAGAAAGGGTCCCATAACCTGGAAGATATTACTGAGGGCCTCTCACCATGCCACAGATGTCCTGATTTTCCACATAAGCACCCTTAGCAGATCTCGGAGGCTACTGAGAGCATACAGGAAATCCTCCAGACTTCAAGGACCCAAGACATTTGTCTTCCTGCCCACCACAACCTGATTAAAATGAAATTTTGTATGTTAGCAATAGCAAAAGGAAAACCATCCATGGACCAAATGCTGCAGCTGTGTTTTGACAGATGTTAGCTAACAAGAATATGGGTGCAATGGCCAGTTCTTTAAAAAACGCAAGATACAATCTGCCATTGGCCTCCGACGTTGGTCTTCCAAGAGCATCATCTTAATTAGGGCTGTCTGTAAATGAAGAATTATTTTAAAATTACAAGTGGTATAAGACAACTTGTACAACCCATGAAAAACACCATGACAAATTCTTCAGTTTACCTCTTCTGGAAACTTCTCACTAAACTTTTCTGGAAGTTCGCCTTTCCTGATATTTTGCCATTCCTGAAAAAAATCATACAGATTGATTAACTGATACTTAAGAATATATTTAAAGCAGCATTTTCACAAAGTGCAAAGTTGTAATTTTGAGACAAATGTTTGCCTAATTTTGGAAATGGAATTCTCGCATGTTTGTAAATGAGATAAAGGAAGTGTGCACGCATAATACACCTTGGTCTAATGTTTACAGAGATAGGGAAAAGTCACTGCCCTGCACTGATGCCTTTTACATATACCAGCATAACCAGCAAAGGATAAAGGAGCTCACTTTGAAAAGGAGCCTGGATAATTTGGACTGCATGAAGTATACAGGAGGAGGGACAGACTATATGAATAGTCTGTTCCTCCTGCATTTCCTTAGCTTGTTCACCCCCACCCCAGGTTTCAAGATATTTGGGGAGAAATGAGACAAAAAGGCAGCGAAGCAATTAGAAGGAATTTGAAGATTCGGCTGAGATTTAACACAATATTCTATTTTATAGAGAAACAGGCTATTTGCACACACCTGGACTGAAATTAAGAAATTTGCTTATGAATTCCCCCTACAAATGTATTCATGCTCTATAATCATCTTATAAAGGCCCTATTCCAGGTGTCTCCTCTGGAAAGCAAAAATGGACTTGGAAAGCAAAAATGAGGGGACCTCCTCAATTTTGGAATGACCTCCCTGATGGGGTCTGCCTGGCACTAACATGACTATCATTTGAATACCAGGTTAAGACCTCCTGTAAGGCATTTGGTAGCATAACTTTAACCTGGTCTTGAATGGTTCCTTTTGCTGATTGTTTAAAATTGTTTTTAGGTATGTGTGCATTTCTTTCACGTATTTCTAAGGTTTAGTCTTTGTAAACCACCCAGAGAGCTTTGGCTATTAGAAGGTATAGAAATCAAATGCATTATAGCTCTGGAATTTGATACTCATGTGCTCCTTTGCAGTCTAGAAGAATCTAAACATGGGATATAAATACATCTTTCTCAGAATGCAAGACTAAACAATCTGAGGAATTCAGGGGCAGGCTCCATCTCTTACCTTTTCATGTTTATTGGAAGTTGCTCTGTATACAGCGTGTATGACTTGTGGGTTCCCCAGTCAGGCATTTAATGCACTGATGAAGTGGGCACAAACACGCCCCCCCCCGCCCATTCATTAATCAAGTAAGCAAAATGCCTGAAAGGACTACTGGTTGCTGGGAGAAGGCTGCAAATTCTACATCTAAATGAGGTCAGTACTTGTGATGTGATGCCCTGTGGGTTTTGTTGTTGTTTAATAGCACTAGTTGCATCTGAGTTCATTTTTTACTTCAGTCAAATGCTTCAAAGGAAGGAAAATCCTACAGGTCAAAAGCCCTTTTTCTGCCTGACTATTTCCCCCAGGAAATTTTACCCAATGTAAAAGCATCTTTCAGCTATCACCTGGTTTCAAGTAATTTAAAGTTTAATTCTTTCTGAGGCTATGCAAAACAAAAAATCTGGACAACAATGCTTGGTACATTGATCTGTATAACAATAGTGTGGCTTGCTAAATTTAAACGAATTTTAATTGTTTGCTGGAGGTCTCTTAGCTTTAACAAGAGTCTGAGATGACCTGCATTGAACCTTCTTTTGTTGCTTTTTTGGGGCCTATTGTTTGGGCATAAAAATACTCCATAGAACAGTTCATGCGGAGATGCTTGGGTGATTTTGTGCACTGGGCAAGTTTTGGTTTATGGGAGAGCAGGGAATCATAAAAGGCAGGAAGAAATTTCAGGAGGTTTTCGGCTAGGCTCTTTGGGACAATGTCCTAGAAAGGTAAGTTTGTAGGAAATTACAGTGCAAATTACTGTACAAAATGTGAGCTGGGGGGTGCCTGTTACCCCATGATGCAGAATGAGGACAAAAAGCTCAGGACTTCAGATATACAGCCTAGTTATTCATGGACAAAATGCTGGGCTGTGAAATGGACCATGCCTCTCCGTACCCTTGAATCAATCTCTGCTTTGGAGAAGGAACATAATTTATAGTAGGAGCTGGAGCTAACTCTGTATCAGTAGAATGCAAGTTCTCATGGTTCTAGGTCACACTCCTGCCTTGTACTGTCAAACTACACTGCTGAGAGAACAGTTTGGAGGAAAAGGAGAAAGGCAATAATTTAGAGACATGATACCTCGCTTTTCCCAACAAGCCCTTTCCTTCCCCCACCCTGTCCGTTTTACCCACTGCAAGTGTCTGGGGCTCAGCCAACCACTGTTCTGCTAGCCTTTCCCACTGGGAGAGATGGCCAGGCAGCCTGGTCACAGATGCTAAAGGAGCAGCCAGGGTAGCACAATGTCTCCTGCCTTTCCCCCCAGGAAAAGCTAATCAGGGTATGGTTTGCTTAAAAAAAAAAGGCTATCACTTTTGGGACCTGCACTTGTGTATACTTATTTTACATGTATTTGCATTATGAAATGTATCCAGACAAAAATGATAGCACACTTCTGGATTCTTTACCTCAATCTTCTCATGTCTAGTTTCAAATGGATAAAGCATTTCAAGTAATATTAGTCCCAGTGGAAAGATATCAACTTCCTTTCCATAATTGTTCTTCTCCTGTGGATAATGCAAGCATGTTAACTCTGCATTCTTATATTAACAGATGTTCACAGAAGTTAGGAACACAGGCCTTACGAACTTCAAAAGTGCATTTTTTCTTTTCCAAATTCCTATTTAGCCATTAAGTTGATTCTGCCACTTCACCCTAACCTATGCTATAAAGTTATGATAAGGATGATAACTTTGGGAGATGGGGGTGAAGAGAGCCATGTAAAAGTCCAGAGGCCCTTAGAGGAAAGATGGGATAATAAGCCACTGCCAGTTTTATGAAGTGTAGACACACTGAAATGAGTGGCTTTGAAGATTGTGTAACAACTTATGCTGCATTCATTTCACTGGGCCTACTCTATGTAGGACTGAGATTGGATAATACCCAAAGAAATCAAATCTAATCTACATTAGATTTTCCCATAATGTTTATTAACAATGTAGAGAAGGGAAAGGCAAACCTAGGCAATGTTCGGCATACCTATGTCTCAGGTATAAGATGAAGAATTGTTTGCAGTTTCAAAATCCTGACCTAGAATCCTGACCATGGAGCGTGCGTACACAAAGAAAAAGAGCAAGTGTCCCAGCAAAGATGAGTCAATGCATGCACATGGATCAGGTATTTGAAAAATTACCTGTTCAGGAGGCCTGTACGACGCTGTTCCTATTCCTGCTGTCCGCTCTGTCAAAGGGTCATTTGCTCCTGATGTTACCAATCCAAAATCACCTATTTTTATTTTATCATCACTGGATATGAATATATTGGAGGGCTATAAATGCAAAAATGGCATGCAGTTTTTCAGCTGTTTCAGTATTATAGCTATCATAGATAATTGCATCATCTCAACTTCTTACATTAATTTAGTATATTTCTACTCCACCTTTAAATCCCAAAAAGGTTCTCAACACAGGTTCCAGATTAAAACTGGGATAATATAGCAAGGATGTGCAGGTTTAGACAGAAAACTCTCAAAAGGGCGGGGGAGGCCCTTCTTCGGGAACCCTCCATGAAAGAAATTAGGAGGGTGGGTACTTGGAAGAGGGCTTTCTCTGCGGTGGCGCCTAAGTTATGGAACGCGCTCCCCAGAGAGGTCCGCCTGGCGCCGTCGTTATTTGTTTTTTGGCGCCAGGCGAAGACCTTTTTATTCAAGCGGCATTTTAACAGTTAACATTATTGGTTTTATCTGGCCAGGGCGGCTTATTTTATACTGTACTGTTGTATTTTAATTTTATATTTATATTTTAATTTATATTATAATTATTTTAACTTAATGATGTGAGCCGCCCCGAGGCTTCGGTGAATGGGGCGGCATAAAAATGTTTTAATAAATAAAAATAAATAAAATAAAAATGCTGGCTGAGAACATTGGGAGCTGCAGAATCTTCTTCTGTCTCAACATGCATAGGACTTCACATTGAAAATAATAAGCCAAGAGCCAGGTTTTGGTTAATCCACTTGCCAAGTTCATTGGTTTGAAGGTCAGATTCCACAGCATGGGGTAAGAAACAACAAGCCTAGCTACCAGCCAAAAATTACACTTCCTTATCCATGTCCATCCTTCCAGATATTCAATTGGTAAAGAATACAAATTGAGAGAGTGATCCTTGTGGCCAAGGAGATTAAGTCAGGGTCTAGAAAACTGAGTAATTCAGAGAAATCAAGGAAATGGTCTGATTAATGTTCTGAATATTTATGTGTGTTTTTATGTAACAGAAGTATGGAACATTTTCAGCTTCTAGGTCAGTGGTGGCGAACCTATGGCACGGGAGCCAAGTCGCCCCAGTATCGCCCCAGCAGCTGAGCATTGGATAACAGCGCACACAGGGGCCATGCACATGCTCAGAAAGGAGTAGTGGCACCAGGCGAGGATGTCACGAGCCATGACTCATTAGCCACGACTCGTCCAAGCTTTCGCATGGCCAGTCAGTGTGCTGCCAAGGCGATTGCTTGGACTGGCTATGAGTTGGTTTTCTAAACTAAAACCTCAGTTGTTGTTGTTGTTAGTCGCGAAGTCGTGTCTGACCCATTGTGACCCCATGGACAACATTCCTCCAGGCCTTCCTGTCCTCCACCATCCTCTGGAGTCCACTTAAGCTCATGCCAACTGCTTCAGTGACTCCATCAAGCCACCTCATCCTCTGCCATCCCCTTCTTATTTTGCTGTCAATTGTTTCCAGCATTAGGCTCTTCTCCAGGGAGTCCTTCCTTCTCATTAGGTGGCCAAAGTATTCAGGTTTTTGCGATAAATGAGTGGGTTTTGGGTTGCAGTTTGGGCACTCGGTCTCTAAAAGGTTCGCCATCACTGTTCTAGGGCAGTATGTGGGATTGGTTTAGGGGGGCAAGTGACACGTACATTCTCCCCACCCCACTTACACAGACAAATTCTTTGCACACACAGCCACATACACTTCTTTCCTCTACCCCATGCGTGCACACATTCTCTCCCTCAAAACAAGAAGGGGACCTGGAGCGATTGCTTGTGGAGTTTCATTAGGGAAGCAGGTCTTCTGAGTACCTCCTCAGCAGTGGTGGCAGCAAATCTGGTGGCTGTTTCAGGTATGGGGCTGATGGGGCCACAAATAACAGGACGGGGAGCCACATGTGTCCTGCTGTTTTGCACATCCTGCCATATAAGCACCAAGGACTGGCAGAACCTTTCAATCAGAATACACACACAACTAGGTGGCAAATTCTCTTCAACATTTATGTTCTCTGATTTAGAAGTGAAAATATAATGAATCAATCTAGATACCTTGAGATCTCTATGAATGAAGTTGCTCATATGAATATAGTTCACTCCTTCCAGAATTTGCTGAAATTTTATTAGGGCATCATTTCTACTGCTTTCTTTCCCACTTTCATTCTCAATCCAATTTTCCAGCGTTCCTTTCTCACAATACTGCATCTGTATGAAGAGGTACTGCCTGAAGATCCATAAAAAATAGATAAAAATAGATTATAATATAAAGCAAACTTCATCCAATTCCATCATGGAAACTGAACTAACATTTTACTAACATTAAATTGTGCCTAACACATATTTAGTTTTATTTACTTGCTTTACATCCTATTCTACCTCTCTACCAAGACACAGCACTCAAGGTTGTGAACTGCCAGGAGAGCATCAACTAAAGGTTGGTACAGGAATGTAATAAAGGTGTCAAGGAAGCAGTTAGCTTGATAAATCCAACTGAATGCAGATGAGTTCAATTACAGGTGAGAACTACAGCTGTTACTGTGCCTTCATTTAGTTGCTAGACCGACAGACAGAACTCAAGGTCAGTTTCTAAGTTTGAGCTGTGCCCTACATGCCTCTTGCTGCTGCTGCTATCAAGTTGTCTCTGTCTTATGGTGACCCTATGGATGAAAGCCCTCCAAAATGTCCTGATAGTTCCAGCTCTCCCAAGTTCAAGGCTGTGGCTTCCTTTATGGATTCAGTACTTCTCGTATTTGGTCATCCCTTTCCTCTTCTGCCTTCAACCCTCCCTAACATGATTGTCTTCTCCAGTGAGTCTTGTTTTCTCCCCACCATGTCCCCTGCCATCTACAGAGTGCACAGATGGGTTCCCATCATGGGGAATCTGATGGTCAGGATGAGCGGGTGATCATGTAGTATCTCCCTCCTATACTCTCTCGGCATCCATCTCACCAGCCACCAGACCTGGGGACTTGGCAGGGTGACCCCTCAGCTCTCCTCCCTGGAGTCCCACGCAGAACTTCCCCTGCTTTGCTTTGGGTCGGCAGGAGTAGCGAACATCCTTGTGGCAACCATCTTATTTCCAGTCCCTGGATTATCCTCCTCTGAGCCCTTCCCAGCTTGTCTGCATCTTTCTTAAGCTGTGGTGCCAAGAACTGGATGCCGTTCTTCAGATGAGGCCTGACCCGTGTTGAGTCCTGGGGAACTTTTGCAATTCTCATTTTGGCAGCTATGGGCAGTCCCTCCAAGGTGGCCCCATTTAAAAAATTGAGTGCAAAATCTGATAGCAGATTAATATCTAAAGCCTGCTATAAAGATTTGTTTCTCTGATGATCAACAAACATGGGCTTAACAAATCTAAAAAAATGACCTGCTGATTATTCAGTGGAAATACCTGTTAGCACTTTGATTATTCTTTGCTGCATAATCATCTTCACCAATCCAGCAACTGTGATACTGAACAATGTTATCATGCTTGAGTTTTGTCAAAACGACTACTTCTTTTCTTGATGCTTCTTTTTCTGATTCAATTTTTCCACTAGACAAGAACAGACAAAGAAAAGTACGTTATTACAAATATTTATAAAAACTACTCTTCAAAATAAGTTACTTTCAGAATTCCATTTTCACAGGATTAGTTACCATATGCATGTTATACTATAGGAAAGAAAGGAAACATTTTGACATAATCTTTTTTCAAGTCAAGTTTCTGATTTGGAATCCTGTGAACAAATGTCCAGATACTCTGTAGGAAATATTTGTTTCCAAAGAGCTGTGGGCAACTTGCGGAAGCTTGGAGACTGTTTTTGCCTCCTGTAACCCTGCTATGGGCTGCAGTTCATGGCCAGCCCCTTAGTGGTGTTGTAGAACACTACAATGGTTAAATGAAATGGCTAAAGAGTGCCCAAAGGGTAAAATTTAGTATCAGCCACAGATTGAGCCACCACAGATCCCATTTTAATTTTTAAAAAGAGGGTGTGGGCTATGGGGATGGCAGGTGGCCCACAGGCCCTGTGTTACCCTCCCTGGGCTAAATATACCATCTAAAGAAGTGCTGATACATTTGTATCCCTCTACTGATATTGAAAGGGCTCTTAGCCAGAAAGTACAGTAAGCCAGTACTTTAGAATGCAGAAATGACGTAACCTGTTAGAAGGAAAATTGGCCTTTTCTTGCTTGCTACTTCAACCCAAAGATAAATCATCTGGAAAGAAACTTTTGCGCATACCCATATGAGCATGAAGGTAGTGGCAACCATAGCAGTGCAGGCACATTACGCTTTAACATTATATGCACTGTTCTTCTGTGCAGTACTGTTACTCTGCTGATGGCAATTGTAATCGTGACTCCTTGTGGATTCACTTCAGGTTTTATGTACATGAATAAACCAGTATTCTAATTGCAATCCATGGCCAAACCATGCAAGGGAAATGGCACATCCCTACCCGGAGTTGTTTGCCTGTGCATTAGTAACTGAACCTATTGCCGTTCTCTTGAGCATAAAAATAGACATGTCCAGAAGCAGTGTCCCTTAATTCCATTGCAACAAAGACCATATTCTTTCATGTTGAAAAGGTAATATGAAAATTTATTAGCACTCATTTTAAAATGCTTCTAATAACTTGATTGAAATAAAAGCAAGCACACAATGGCTTACATTTTGACTCGTTTGACAGCATATAATGTCTTATCAACACGATGCTTTGCCTTGAAAACATGCCCATATCCACCTTTACCAATTCGCTGTATGATTTCAAAGTCCTCAAGAAACCTGTTATAAAAAATAAAAGCAAGTTTTAGTATGTGCCTGTGTATACATTCTTGAAAGATCCTTTAATTATGAATCTCTCTATGGTACCATGGGATGCAGCCCTATAGATAAGTGGGGTGTATTCCTTCTGTTAAAAAAAGAAATTCCATGGTATCTGCTGCAACCAGATCCAATGTATATTTTGTAGACTCCCTTACACTAGTCTTACATTAATTATACTGACTCCCAATGCATTTTGGGACCCAAGTGAAAATTTTGATTCTCAAACTCTAAATAATTACTTCAAAGACTCCCCTTCTCCTATATGTACCTGTCCATATATTATGATCTCCTTTAAACGCCCTCTCATATGTTTTGCCACCAAAGGAGTCTAAGTTGGTGGAGACAAGAAACAAGACCTTCATCTATTTTTATGGTAATACGTAAAATTGCCTTAAAAATAACTTTTAAAAAATAGTTAGAGACTAATGAAAAGGAAATGACACTGCACACTGGGAATGCAGACAAGGCAAGACTAGTAAAATCTGAAACAGATGTGACTTGAGCGTTCAGCATTAATAACTCTCAGGTTTAAAAGCAAACACTCTATGGTAGCCCCACACAGCTGCTTTGACAACTGGGAGTGGTTCTCTCGGTATGAGTGGTTAAATCTTTCCCCAGTCTAATTTTAGGCCCTGCCCTGAAGGACTTCTTTACTGTGAAGAAGAGAAAATATACATACAGCACTTATGCCCTCAGAGAAGGAGCAATATTGGAAAGAACAGAGGCGAGAGAATTTGTAGCAACATAAAAATTCATTGGAATTTACAACAGTGACAAAATCTCCAAACCCCATTTCCTGTACCTTATCAGCTACAGGAAAAGAATGAGGACAGTTTCAGATTTTAGATATCACGACAGAGAAGGTCTTACTTTAGACAAGCAAAGCACATAGGGTACACTTCTAAGGAAGAACTTAGAAATACAGGTTCTTTAGAAGTCTATTCTTACCTGCGATTGGTCGTGTGTACTTTTCCCCTTTCTAGTAGGGGTTTTGAAAATGCAGGTGCTAATAGCATCTCTTTTCTTAAAAAAAAAAAAAAAAAAAAAGGAAAGGGTTGAAATGAAACTTTGCAATGTTAAGAATACAGTTCTAGGCATGCTTGGACAGAGAAAAGTCCTACAGCTCCCAGCTTTCCTTGTCTTGTCATGTTAGGAGCTATAGGGCGATTTCCTCTCCCTAAATATGTATACGATTGCAGAGTTATGCATGAAGCACAAATGCATATGAAGCACTGATTTTGGTGCTAAAAGTTTTCCCAATAGATAAATCCAATGTGTAAACAGTATCAGTTTTAAAGGCAAATATATACCTTTTAGGTTGCATAGCGTGGCCTCTGGAATTTGTCTATAGAAAAAGAAATATATATATACACATTACTTTTAAACAAAGCAACTAACATTTGGGAGCAAATGCTTAAATATTTGACCCAAATTCAGAATGCAGATAGCAGTAGGCATCACTGGGCTCAAACCCCATGCAACCACCCGCTTTATATTGCAAGGCCTTCTGAATTCCCTCCTTTTGGACACTTCATCAGGGAAATACCATGTTTCCCCGAAAACAGGACCTAACCAGAAAAGAAGCCCTAGAATGATTTTTCAGGATGCACATAATGTAAGCCCTACCCCAAAAATAAGCCCCAGTTAAGATCGTCAGCCAGATGGATGGGGAAATATGGTACTACGTCCGTTGCAACACACGACAGACGTATTGAATTATAAAATAATAATATTAATATATAATTATATATAAATAAATAATATTATTGGCATTAATACTTAAAATAAATGATAGTATACATTATAAGTAAGTATTTGTAAATACTGAAGCAGGTGCCCTTGGACGAGAGGTAAACGCCTATGTAAACAGATGAATGCGAGACTTATTGCCAAATGATCGATCAAAGTACAGACACAACGAACGAATGTCAATACATTGTGTGTTGTAATGGACGTACTTAATGCATGGATGCAAAATGCAAGATGGGTGCAAAAAGAAAGAGCTATTCTCTGTCAAGTACAAGAACAGAACCATGGAGGACTCTTGGGGCAAGAATCCTATGGCTTTCATAAGAAAACATAAGACATCCCCCGAAAATAAACCCTAATATGTCTTTTGGAGCAAAAATTAATATAAGACTGGGTCTTATTTTTGGGGGAACACAGTAGCTAAGTGGGTTGTCCTCCCTGCAAGCTGATCCTAGGCTTCCTGTCTTCACTCACTTCCCTTGGCCTTCCCACCTTTATGGTGAACCACTATTTGGCTGAAGAAGAGTATAGACATATATAAAAATAAACTCAATTGCATTACGTGCACTAGTGTTTTTCATTCATTCTTGGCCTATACATAAACAAAAACAAATAGTTGATATCACACAGGCCTGGTTGTATAACCCATGAACTGCCAGGGAGAAGCAAAATGATGACTGCACTGCCTCCCATACACTCATCATTTCCACTTTGAAGTAACATTCCAGTTTCTGGGTCATTTTGTGACCTGAGAACATAGACTCTGGATTGTTTAAGGCCAAAACAATGTAGAATTAACCCCAAAATTGCTGATGATTTGTTGTTTTGTTAACCTTGGGTTCTTTAACTGATAAATAACCAAGAATTTCTAGGTCTGCATGTCACATAACTCAGGAATGGGGCTTTCCTGGGCTGTTAAATAAAAGCGGAAAAAACAAGTATGTAGTTCACATGCTTCATTGTGATTCCTGTATTAAACTCAGGCACTAAGCAATGTCAGTAGAAAGTATTTTTATACCATACCAGAGAATCTGATAGACAAACGGCACCCAGTTGATCAGACAGTCTGTTACATGCATTCTCCCCATGTGAATCTATACTACCACAGAAAAAATAATGAATTTCAGTATTACATGCTTAATATTTTCCATTTAACTTGTGTTTCTTTTTTTGTAATTCTTAGAAGTTGTTTCAAAAACATTCTTAATTTGTGACACTACTTGTATTCTACCAGAAGCAGATATAATAGCCATAACAGATTTATGATAAAATAAAGAAACTAGGATTGGGATGAAAACTAGTGGGATCTGTCCTTTTAATATTTGCAGTCTTTCTCTCATGCACAGCCCAATCTTGCAAAGCGAACTGAGAGGAAGCTCAGCAACCTTCTTCTGTGCCAGGTGCTGCGGCCCAAACAGCTGCCGCATGAGGCGTGGATGAGGGCATTTGCTAGTGGTCGTGCGGCAAGCCCTGCAGGACCACTACCATCATCCCTTTCCACACCAGGCGCAGCAGCCATTCGGGCTCCTGCAGAAGCATGTGGGGCTCAGTTCCTGGTGAGCATCCTGTGAATGCTGGTCATGCCTGCCAAGAACTCAGACTCAGGGTTGCTGCAAAGCAGACCAAAGTCAGGGGAGGTGAGCCCAGGGAACCCAACAGCTTCCCAGCTCAAAATGGATTCCTTACACATCTCTTAATGAACCATCTGCCTAATGCTACATGAGGTAGGAATGTTTCAACACATCTTGGTTACTTTTTTGAATGTTCATTCATTTTATCTGCAACCCATTTGCTCTTCCACATCAGATGTTTCCTAAATGCAAAAACTCAAGCCTCTCATAACCAGAAATTCTGATTAATCAGAAATCTATTCAACCAAAAGAATAAGAATACTAACAAGTCAAGCAAAGGTATTCTTATGCTAAACATTTACACTAGTTTTTAGAATATATACATCCTTCCCTAGTTGGCAACATAAACTCAGAGGAATGCAACAGCAATCTTTTACTGCTGTCTTAAAGAAGTAAATCCCAGTGTTCTGGTTCAGGTATTGAATTCTGTGTTATTGTGAGTATGGCATATTACACGGCAGTGGGTAACCAGAAACTGTTTTCTTTTTTCCGGCAAGCAGTGACCCAATCAGGAATGGTTGCTTGCAGTGACATACAAAGCAAGAAGCATGGCTTGTCTATCCCTTGAGCTGCTGCATTCACAATAACCTAGAATTTAAAAATTTTCTAGATTTTCATGATGTACAAAGTGGGCTACTGAATCCAACGATTAATGGAGATATGATAGCAGCCATAGTTTGCTATTAACAGGATCCCACCGGTCATCTACTTTTGATTTGTTTAACTTGATACCACCCCACCTCCTAAAAACTTTGAACATTTTTAACAATATTGATCAAAAAGTTGGACAGATTCAAGAAGCCTTTGAGAGTCTGGAACAAATCTTTTGCTTGACAGAAGAAAGAATATTCTCTCCTTAGGAAATTTGTTATTGTTCCACAACAATGGCATGAACGATACAATATGTGAAACCTGCAGGCTCTCTTCTCAGATACCTTACTTATTCATATTTAAATGAACACTGAAATCTTCTCTTACTCTGAAAATACTCCAGAGCTTTGAAAAACAATGCTATTTGACTTGCTAGAAGAAAGATCTGACTTGCTAGAAGAGGATCTGCTGTCCTCTTCAGCAGACCTGAAAGGCAAGTTTGAAACTGCAGTTTGAAATGGTTTCAGTGGTTTCTACTATAGCGTACTAGCAAAAGAGCAGACCCTTTGCAGATTTAGCAGCTGTAGATTCCAGCTGAAAAACATTTTAACCCTAGAAGAAAACCCTATCGTGTCTACCCATAAATTGGCTTGAGGAAATATTGTGGGCTAAGCAAAGCAGTTCTTTGAAAAAGCCATTTTGTAGAACAAGTCACTTCTTCAGCCCTGCAATTTGTATGTACACACACATTAAGGGAAACTTGCCTTAAAGCTTATGAAGGCATGAAGACTGTCCCCAGTTTTAGCCACATATCTGTATTTTTGTGAGGCAAATGATACTAAGATCACAGGAACAACAACCATAATTCCCACTAAGGAATTATGACAGTCATGGTTATAGTCTCCCACTCTTAGTAACTCTGTCTATACCAGTTATGATCTGACCTAGGCAGAGATAACCAGGCTACAGCAGTCCACGTCCTGGTAGCCTCTAATCTGGATGACTGCAATTCATTATATGTGAGGCTAACTTTGAAAACTGTTTGAAAACTTCAGCTGGTTCAAATTAGGTCAGTAAGACTGTTAACAGGATCCGGTCAACACATTCATATTATGTCAGTACTTTTTCAACTGCACTGGTTGCCAGTTCTCTGGTTTCAGGGCCCAATTCATGCACTGCTATCAATATCACAAGGCTTGAATGGATTGGGGCCAGGTTACCTGAAGGATGCTCTCCTCCCATATATACCTGCCTGGACCCTAAGATTATTCTCAGCCCTTTCCAAAAGAAGTGAGTAGGTGGCTACTAAGATGGTGGCCTTTTCTGTTTTGGCACTCCGTATGGAATGAACTTCCCTTAGAGGCTCACCTGGCAACAGTGTTAACAAAGTATTTCTTTAAAAGAAGACTTTATTAAACAAGTATCTTACTTTTCAGAGACCCCATTCGATGTGTCTTCAGAATCAAGAAAGGAACTCCTTGCAGAAGAACTGGTACTAAGAGCACTTCCTCCTGTCTGGAAAGCAGTAAGGAATAATTTATGACTACAAGTTAAAAGATCTGTATCAACCCAAATTAGCCATGGAAATGAAAGAAAATACATGATTACAGGCAGTCTCTTGAGAATGTCTTTAAGTCAAATTTGTGTGTAAGTTGGAAAAGGCGTATAAATGCATATAAAACACTTAAAAAACACAGTCACCCTCCACAGCTGTGGGGGTTAAGGGCTCAGGGCCCCTGTGAAAGTGGAAAAACTGTGAATATCTGTAGGCCCCACCAACTCACCAGTACCTCCTCTATGGAGCAAGGAAATGCCAGAAGGCTTTCCCTCCCCAGATAGGTGGGGCAAGAAGGCCTGCTTTGGAGGTCTCCCTCTCTCCCTTTTTGCTTCTTCTCTATGGTGCTGACAATTTTCCGCAGTAGACCACAAAACTCCCAATTGTCTTTAACTCAATTTTTTAAATTAATAGGCTTCATGACAAGTTGTTTGTAAGTATGGGTTCTTAGATGTTCATAATCCAGAGACTGGCTGTATATGATCAGTTCAACAGCACTGATTGATTAAATTGTCTCAATGGTAATGACTGTAATATTCACATGGCAACCTAACTGCCTAAGATCTTCACCATATTGTCCTTCAAGATGCATTTTCCTTGGAAAATGAAGAGATTAACAGACCTCAATGGGAGATATTTACCACATAATGAGACTGTCACTATGTACTGTATCCAGTTTTACAATTATGCGTATGAACTGTTGTGAACCACCCAGAGAGCTTTGGCTATTGGGCAGTGTATTAATTATTATTAGTGAATTTAACAGGTAATAAATAGATGGAATTTCCCTAGCATGCACTCAAGCATCCAGTAGGATCAAAGACTTATTAGGCAGGGGGATGTGGAATAATCCAGATAGAAACTGCATTAAGCTGCAATGTTATAAATATTTACCTGGGAACAAGCTCTAATGAAAACAGTGGCATTTACTTTTAAATAGACCTGTGTAAGATTGCATTGTTAGGCAAGAAGAACTGAGGCCTGGAAACATCACCCCTAGAAGTCACACTAACCTCTATAAGGAAACAAATATCTATCCATCTTTGTCAATAGACAGAGGAAACTGGAGAAGGGCTTCAAAAGATCTTCAAAGTGTGAATAGGTTAATATGTCCTTGGGATACTCTGGTGTTAGCAGGACCTTGATAACTGTCTGAACTAAATCTGGCCAGAGGTTAGTCACAGTTAGCTCAAAGTGTGCAACAGCATCAGTCTATCCAAGGGCAGGTCCAGGTGTATCACAAACTCAAATACCACAAACCTGACTCCAGAGGGAGAATGCAGCAACAGCTGGGACATGAGGATGCCTGCCTTGCACTACAAACAGGCCCCCTATTCACAAAACCTATTTGGTCCTTCAATTTATTCACCTCCATCCTGTCCCTTACAGATTCTAGCCTCTTGCACTTCTTTGCCTGACTCTGATTAAAAAGGAAAATCCTGGACCTCCAGGCAGCTCCCTGCAGACATTTCTAAGCACAGATCACAACCCCAGGAATGAGCAGAAATGCTTGTTTCCAAACAGAACATTTAAGAAGCTACCTGCTGTGAGCTGAGTCCTGCCCCATTCCAAGTCCATCCCACTCCTATCCATCCACGGACAGATGTGCTGGTTTCCCATTGTGCTACAAGTGGGTCTTGATAACAGGCCAGCAGCCTCTGAACCTTATGAAGCAGTACCCTGGAATCCGATGTGAATGACGCAGTGTGCCTTTTATGCACATTAAAATAATGAATTTTCTTCTTTACTTTTCCTGCAAATATAATACATACCCTGCTCATCAAATTTTCATATGCTTGTTTGGCTGCATTCTTATTTGCTGTTTGCTTGCTATTTCCTGAGCCCGAGCCAAAAACTTTACCATTAATTGTACACTCTTGGAAAAAGCTAGAAGAAAAAAAATTAAATTAACATTAAGTATTGTAGATTAATACAATAAACCCATGCATGCTTACCTGGAAGTAATTCCCATTTAAAGCAGTGAGACTTACTTCTGAGTTACATCTACTCTGACAAGATAATGCAAGCTGCCATTTCTCCCAGCCCCTGTAGATCCTAAAATTTACTTTAAGTTACTGTAATGTTTTATATGTATTTTAGATTTGGTTTTAAACTTTTCTACGGTAACTTTTTCATGAAATTTTACTGTTTGTTCTTGTAAACCAGGCAGATGCCTTTGGCTATTGGGCAGTACAGAAATCATCATCATCATCTACAACAACAACATAGACACTGTCAGATTGCTTCCACACTGTCTATTCCAGAAGAGCCACTCATTTTACGGACAGCTAAGGGACATTGTCATTGAGTTGTTGTCTTTGTGCCATTGTAGGAGGAAGGCATTCCCCATTGACCCTCTGCCCACAACAGCTTTGGAGCAAAAAAGGTCTCAAACACATATTCTTTTCAGCACCAGGTTAAAACCTTTTTATTTAAACGTCATTTTAAGAATTAGAATTTTTAGATTTTTTAAAGTTAACAGTTGCATTTTATTTATTTTATTATTTTATCCATTTTTATTTATTTTTCTTATGATTGTGATTTATTCTCTTTTACTTATTAGTTTAATTTGATGGTATTTCATTAGTACTGATTGTACTTATCATAACCTATTTATTATTATTTATTATAGTATGGATTATATTTTCATTGTTCTGATTGTATATTATGTAAGCCATCTTGAGATGTTTAGTGAAAAGATGGGATAAAAATGTTTTATTAAAATTAAATTAAAATAAATTAAAAATTAAATTATTATTGTCCTTTGTATGTTTACTTTCCACGGGGAGTGTAGACAGTGGGATGGAGTTCCAACTCATGGCACTGTGTGAAAATGTGGCTTAGCACATCTGCAAGGATGATGTCAGATGTGGGAACTTGGATCACTAAGAGAGTGATACGCCAGAGAGCACACCATCTCCCTATCTTGGTAGCAAGAATAGCATGGGATGGAGGTCTTGTTCCATTATCTGTTGATGTATGTGACAACCATGATATTTTCTGTAATAACTTGGACATGTCTTTTCTTGGATTAGGATCTGGAAAGCTTGGGGGGCTTTCTGTACTGCGAGGAGCTCTAGAAAGTTTATATGGAGGGTGTGTTCATGTGGGCCCCATTTCCCCTGAATTTTGGAGGGACTGCAGTGAGCTCCCTAACCTGAAGGCAAAGCATCCCTGAGGTCAAGGATGGGCTAAAGGCCACCACCCTTCTTAGGTAACATAAAATACCTGGAATAGAAACCTCAAGTTCCAGGGTGTGCCTTCTCTCTGGCTCCCTTCTGGAAGAGGGAGGATATTTCTTCAAGAAGGGGCTTGGAAGGAGTGGTCTTTTTTATGGTACTGGGGCAAGGCTTTAATCACAATGTGGTATTTGTGGAGAATGATGGCGAGCACCCATGAATCCGAGGTGATGGCAGCCCAAGAATGGAAAAAGGGCTAAAGGCCATGGTTAAAGTACAGATTGGAGGAGTAAACAGGCTGCAGAAGGAGTCACGGATGTGTCCTTAGTTCTTCCTGTTGCCTGGAGATTTGGCAAAGTCTTCAATTCTGGCCTTTGCCTCCATAGAGACCAGAAGACTGGAGCTACACAAAGTGGCAGAGATCTATAGCCCCTGCCATGTTCCTGGCACCGCATTCTGTGTGATGTCGAGCAGTATGGATTTCGTGGCACATAAGGTGAGCAGCTTCTCTTTTGATTTCATTGACTAAGTCCTGTGCCTCTTTAGGGAGGGATGAGCATAGTGAGGCTACCCAAACGCAGCACATTAGGTGGTACCTGGCCATAGTCACTTGGTAATTTGCCGTTTTGATCAAGAGTGCAGGAGGAGTAGAAATGGTGGCCAACTGCATCTGGGCACCTACCCTCCTTGTCAGTTGGGATAGAATGTTCTCTCTTGGATGGGTGCTGAGAAGATTCTACTATCATCAAATTGGGGCATGGATGTTGGAAGAGGAAATTTGTGTCTTTTCCCTGCACTCTGCACATGTTCTCCAATCTATGGAGGAGGAGGAGCTACAGATGCAGGCGATTTCCACCCCTGATGTACCACGTCAATTATAATGGGCAGGAGGAATACAGTAACTGGTGTAGGGGTCTCTGCATAGACCACTTTGAAAAAATGGGTCTTTGGCCCTGCCTGGATCTTAGAGCAGATTGAACCCTAGGCTGTGGGCCACGTGGAGGATCTGCTGGAGAAGAGACCAGTATCCTCAAAGACATGCGGCAAATCGCACAGGGGTTTATATGCAGCAGTAGAGAGGTCAGAATGTCGGCCTGAAGAGAATGATTCCAAACTGTAAAGTTTTGAAGTGTAATGTTCAGGGCCATATTTGGCCAGATTGGAAAAATCTGTGTGCTGGTGTTCTGGTGATTTGGTGTGGGATGGCTGGGCACAGAATGCAGGAGAGTGTTGGGTCACTGTCCCTCTAATGTCTCTAGATGCTCCTGGCAGTGGTGTCCACATCATAGGATCAGTTTGAGAGGTGAACCAATCTGAACCTATGAGGCTCCAGTGGGAAATCCCTTGCCTAGAATCAAGGGAGGCCAAGCGTTCTTCAAAGTCATGCCTGCATGGCAGAGTTAGCCATCAGGGTCTGTGGTCCTGATCAATTGGAGAATGACACCTGCCTTTGACAAATTCAGTAACAAGGTAAATGCTCAGGATTGAAGACAGTGGCAAGCCCCAGCTCTGGCCAGAGATGATGCCCGACTGCTGCAATACAAGAGCGGAGGGTTCTCAGATCTCTCCTTCTGAAAATGAAGTACTTGGAGCCAGAGGTAATGGTTGGAGATAGCTCCTGTGTTGGTCCCACAGCCAGGAAGGAGCATTGTAAATATCCCTGTCCAGGCACTGTGACTTCAGCACACAGGAGGCCTGAGCAGGGGCGGCTTGTTGCATCATTTTCTCACATGTTTGTCACCATCTCACCCCTTGGAAAGGGTAGGCGTTTGGGGGGCTTTGCTTTTCTTTGCCGCCTTTATGGATTTCTCCAATCTGGAATGTTTTTTCCAGGGGAGCTATAGGAGGATCTGTGGAGGTCAAGAGAGTAAAGTAGGATGCCAACTGAGAGGCAGGAAAAAAATGGGAAAAGGAGATTATTTATTTATTTATTTAGAAAAATGGAGGAAAAAACACCAAGTAGAGGAGAAGAAAACCTGAAGAATGAAGGAGGTCCAAGAGATTCATGAAAGAACAAAGCTTTGTATGGTTAGTAGCAGAGGAAGAACTTTCTGATATGCTCATAATGGCGGTTGAAGAGGAACTGAGGACTCAGTAGGAACCCCTCTCCTCGTGCTGGGCATGTCTAAGGGATGGGCTCCCACCAAATAATAATTAATAGGCTTTGGAATCTTCCTGACTGAGCTACACGCATGCACACCGAGCCTATATGTGTTATGCACAGAAACCACAACGAAGAACTTCTCTTATTCACCACCGTCACCATTTAAGAATTCCAAAACTTGCTCTGGGTGGAATAAGGAAAGCAAGACAGACCAAGACAGACCAAGGGATGGATGGAGAGGAAAAGAAGAATGCTGACTGAAAAAGGATGGGGGTGGGGAGAGGGAATTCCCCAAGCCCAGTAGCTCCTGAGGTGTGCTGGGCATTGTAGCCCAACACAACCAGAAGGTACCATGTTGGAGAAGGCTTCTCTTACACACCTAAAACTTTTCTATCCCCTGGAAGATAGAAAGAGTAGATTATTGCATGTCACTTACAGTGGAAGAGCAACCATTAAACTACTCCTCTGAAAGCTTGCCCTCAACGTTTAAAAAAATGAAAAAAATGGAAAACTTACTTTGGTTTATGTGCCTCTCCAGTTTTGCCTCTCGATATAAATACAACATTTACTCCATTCTTTTGCGCAAATTCATTGAGCCAGGAAATATGGTTACCAGGTGAACATGGCAGTTCTGATGAGAGACTTGCTGACTTAGGCAACTGTGGTGGAGAGGGTGGTAGCAGCTGCGGAGGCGGTGGCCGCTGCCCCAAAGACAGATTGCACTACAAACAATATGCATAACTTAGCTTACATTTACAGTATTGAAGATCGCTGCAGCTTAGAGTCTCACATCAATTGCAGTCTGATTTTGCATGCAAATTCACTCTACGTGTAAACCCAGATGTAAAGATTAGCAAGAAAACACCGGATGGACAGGCCAGTTTTTATTATGGATCAGTCTGTAGATCCCAATGAAAACTTCCTGCAACTCTCAGCTTTGCAAGCAGAATATGATTTGCCAGTTATGACTGAATGGCAATATGCACCATTGAAAGATCTGTTAGACTCGAGGTTCAGCTCTGCTGCTTTCACAACTTCAGAGGCCACTTTATTGCTGGAAGTATAAATTGAGGCTAAACAGCTCTACTGACCCATAATTCACATTTACAAATATATCACCAACTTGATGAAGAAGTATGATACACAAGGGTCTTATACAAGAATGAGATAATGAACTGCAGTGTCTTACTTTGGCCATGGTATATATTTCAGAAGAGGTAACAGATCTCAGTTACTTTTAATTCAGCAAAATCTGATAGGATGTCACATCTTTTTAATAAGGGTCAACTTCTATCAGCCAATTGTTGGAGTTTCAGCTAATGCTTCTCTCAATCACAAGCTTTGTGCCCAATGGCTGCTTCTTTTTGGGATGTGAAAATTATATAGATAAACTTTGTAAAAGAAAGTTCTTTAATATTTACAGACATGTATGTTCTTACCTGCCCATCTCTTAGAACTTAACACAGGGTCAACATCAATGGCCACCTATTTTAGCTGCCACATGCTTTCGGCAGCTAAAAGACTATTATTAACAACACTGGGATAACCAATACCAACTTTCAATAATATAGTGGATCAAAGACTTGATGAAGCTTTCTGTTACTGAACAGGTGGTCTTTAGGTCTAATTTACAAATGGATAACTACACATTACCTAAGTTCTCTTTGATGAACTCTATGCACAACTGTCTCTAAGAATAGCAGATTTTTTTGCCTTACATAAAACAACTTGGAATACCTTGTGAATATGCATTCATTGTCATAAAGTCACTCCAATTTCATGTAAGAAAATAAACACTTTTTATTATATTTTTCTGTTTGGTTTGGTTTTGGTTTTGGTTTTGGTTTTTGAAACTCATCATATGCAACTATTTTTTTAAAGGTAAATTAAGAGCGGAGGGAGATAGCTCACTAATTCCTGTTCACCAAAAGGCTAGGGCAGGTCCTTGGCTGTGTGGAGCTGCAATATCCTAGGTTAACCTGTTGCTGACTCAATTTTGAAACCGTATGAAAACTGGAACATGTAATATTCAGGGAATATATTCTATCTTCTATCCTACCTCCATGATGGAGAGTAGAAATGCATTCAAGTAAGGAAGCATGTTTTTATATGCCCTTTTGCCAATTTTCTAATTTTTCTTCCATTATGGGTTTGCCTATTCTGAACTTGGATACTCCATGATACTCAGATAATACCAGTATGCTTTTTAAGAAAATTTGAGGGTGTGGGACTATGCACGTTTAGCCAAAAAGCCAGCAAGGATATTTTCTCTCTCAGTATGCATAGGATTACACCCTTAAAGTATTTTTGGCGGTTTGGGACAAGCAAAATTTACAGAACTACCAACCTTTATAAGGGTCTGTGTATTTTGGGGGGAAATCTAGTTACACTGCAATGAGGACAATATGAAAATCTCCTTCTCTTCTCTTCTAACCAGAAATGTTTCTTTAAGATCATCACCCATGTTCCAATGCATATATTCTGAATGTTCTACTTACCTGTATGATTGCCCAAGCTGAATGTGCCGCAGCATGTTTTGCCTCCTTCTTGGATTTACCTGTCGCTCGGGCATACTCTTGAGTACCCACAAAGACTGCGATAGTGAATCTGCAAGGAAAACAGAATTCACAAGATTATGGGGCTGAGGTAACACGGGGCTAATTGCAACTTGAGTAGAATGACTTGAAAGCTATCAAGATGGTTAAAAGTACTGTAAATCTATTACTTCCAATGCTTGTAACTTATAAAATTTTCCTAATTATAATCTTAGTTTATCTGCTATACAAGATCTGCATGTTCAGCGGTTGGGGGAGGGAGAACAGGGAAGGAATTTTATACCTTAGCTGCAATTAGAATGGCATCCAATATCAAAGAACAGCAGAAACCCCCCTTTTTTTTCAAATTGAGGGCCTGAGGCCTAGCAAAGATAGGCTGGTGAAAAGCTGTGAGAGTCAAGAAACGTTGCACTAGGAGGACTACTGAATGTGCAGCAGGAGACAAGGGTGTGCCACTTTGCGGAAAGACCTGGAATGCTCTTTCCATCTTCTGTCATCAGTGTCTGTATGACCAACACAGGCCCTGTTCAATTTGTAAGTGGCAAACTTTTTCCCCATCACATTTGCCCATTGGCTTTCTTCATCAACTTACTCAGGGTCATGAGAAGGACCTGAGGCAGCAATGTCTCTGTAGTTCAATTGTAAACCATTTCTCTGACAATATTCATTAAGCTTCCTCATGGATTCAATAGAGTCAGCATGGTTATTTGCCATACTGGTGTAGCCTGTTGAAAAAGAAGAAATGCTGATATGGAGCATGGTGTGCCTTAAAACTTTTTTTATTTATGTTAAGCTATAAACAGCAGGTCTGAACACAGAGCATCCTGGGCAAAGATTTTCTTTCCTCCCCCATTCATGGTGAAGCTGTAGCAGTAGCCAGAGGGACTTTCATGACCACCTCCTTCCACCATGAGCCTTAATAACAGCATGGTGGCCAAGTATCACTTCTAAGGGGAAATCATCTCAACATTTATTACTATCATTGATATTGTTGATATTAAATTGATATCCCACCATTTTACCTGTTTACTTCTTTTTAGTCAAGGAACTTTGATGCTCTTCTTTCAGCCCAATGTAGCTTCACAACAACTCTGTGAGGTAGGTTAGGATAATCAGTGGCTGACTCAAAGTCACCCAGCCCAACGGTCAAATCACTACAGTGTACCAATTCTACAATGCCAAAGGAAAGAGCATCTGGAAGAAATGGAACTGGGCTCTCCAAGCTCCTATTGGCACTGCTGATACCAACCTCCGTGCCAATCAGAGTATGCCAACTTGGGCATAAAACACCCTTGCATGTCATCAGAATAACGAAAAAGCTGGATCTCTGAAATAAAAAATGGACCCTCGTAATTTCCTTAGATGTTTAAAGTGGAACCCAAGCAAACTGTAATCACATCATGCCACATACCAGCCTCCACAGACTGAACCATAAAAATCATAGATCAGACACTCACAAGTGCCACCACAGCACAAAACCATGTATCAGAGGCACTGATCCTCACAATCACATCAGATTCTTAAAGGGGATGCTGGGAAAACAAAAAGTGAAAAACTTGCTCCACAAGTCCATGGGATCTGTGAGACTCCAGAAAAGTTGGATCACTGTGAAATTCACACACTGGTTTCACAGAAACTGAAATTCATCTGAAATTGTTGCAGACTTCTCCTAACATCTCTAACTCCTGCGGTTGTTTGGCAAGTAATCCATATTTAATGCTAATCAAATGGATATGGAATGGGCTTCCACAGGAGGTGTTTGAGGCCCCATCAGTGAGGGTGTTTAAGGATAGGCTGGACATGCACATAGTAGGCATGTCATGAACAGAGTTGAATGGAGCCGGGGGTCAGACTAGATGGCCTGGGAGGCCCCTTCTGACTCGCTGTGTTTCTATGTTTCTCTATAGAGAGGGAGCATCTGAAAATCAAGGGGTGTTCTGTGCCCCTCGTACTGTCTCATGACATATAAACCAAACTTCCTGATTTTGAGTTACTTCTCTGGTTGCTTCTGGTTTGTTCAGGAAGAGACCAACCAGACTTCCTTGCTTGCATGTCAGAACAAACAAACAAGGATGAAACTTACATGGCTGGTTCAGCTGCTCTTGCACTCTACAGGATGGATCAGGCAGTATGCACTAGCACACCCATTCATTCCCAAAAAACTAGGATTTTTAAAAAATGGACTACAGAGTCCATGATTTTTATAGATCAGTTCCTAAGAATGTGTGTCTCAAATACATTATTTTGTCCTGTTGCAGAATGGTGAAAAACACTGAAGTACAGTAAAAACCCTGTATCTGCTGTTTCAGTTACTGCAGTTTTACTTATCCGCAGTTAACCAAAAGAACCAGACCCAATGCACCGAAGTGCAGCCTACTCATCCTCACATGCAGCCACACTCCCAGTCCTCAGCCTAGCACCTGCCCCGCCACCCCTGGGGGGCTGGCACATCATTCTGAACCAGCCACAGCAGCCAGGAAGGGGAGCATTTCCTGTGTGGCTTTGCTCCCTCTCACCACACACACCCACACCCACACAGTAGGCTACAAAACTCCAGTAGTTTTGCCACTATCCATGGTTAGGAAGCTATCCCCCACAGATATGGGGGTCCTACTGAATTATGATTTGGAGGATTTTCTTGCAACAACCATGAGGTTCCATCTCTCAAATTCATGTTTTTTGTGCTGTGTTGGCACCTATGAGTGTTGAATCTACTTTTTGATGATTCGCTCTGTGGACGTAGGTAGGTGCTTATTTGTCCTAAAACTCCCATCATCTCCCATCCCAACTTCAACGATGGGCTGGCTGTAAAGGCACATAATAAAATCCTGTACATATTTGTTCTAAATCAGCTCCCATTGAATTCAACACAACTCATTTCCAAGTAAATATGCATATGATCACAGCTGAAACTTCTTCAGTAAACTAGAACAAAATAGTCAACACCATTTGCACATCACAGACTCACACAGAGTGCTGTGAAGCGCGAGCCAACGAATGCAGGTGGGATCCTTACAAGCGGGAGCCAACGACATCTCCAGAAAGCCATTCGGCCCCAGTCGTGGATTGTGGAATTTTTCCTACAGACATGCGAGACTGCAGTCTATCTGCAGTCTGGGGACGGTGATAAGGAGACACTGACCTTGGGTATAAGGACTGTGCCTCGCGGATCACTTTACACCTTAACTCGCGAGGATGGGGGCCCTCCGTTTTCTATTTCATCTCGGGCAGCAAAACACCCTCTGCTGGGACTGATCCCAATGGCACCGTTTGGCAACCATGGAGGAACTGGGGGTGCAAGCCTCTTTCGGCGGTTCTCCTACCTTCGAGCTCCTCAGCTTGCAGACTAGCGCTCCCAGTCTTCCAGACACGCACCCCGACGCGAGCCGCGGAATACTCACTGGGGCTGGGTCAGCCTCTCCTTTTCAACAACCCAAGCTTTGGAACACTAGGACTCCTCCTTCTCTGCAGGAAAAGAAACTGAACGAACTTGCTACCGAAAGCACAACCGGACTTTCGCTTCCCGCTGATGCCATCCGAAGTTGTCTCTACGTAACTGGACGTGGCAGAGAATCGAAACTAAAGGCTTCCGGGAAAGAGTAGCCGCGTTGCGCCCCTAGCGGTACATCCCGGTACCTACGCTTTCACAGCCAAGTCGGATTCCGCAAAGCCGGCCCAATCCTTTAATCAACTCATTCGACTGCTTAAGGACGTGCAGAAGTGCCAAAGGATCGGTCTGAGCGCGGGGACCTTTGGGCTAACGGTAACCACGACGTGGTTCATATACCCGCACCCCTACTTTAGACTTAGAATCATAGAATAGTAGAGTTGGAAGGGGCCAAGAAAGCTATCGGGTCCAACCTCCTGCTTTTGCAGGTCACCAATTTGCACCATCTCAGATGACATTTTTAATGTCCCTAGTGTGGGAGAGCCCATGACCTCTTTAGGCAACTGCACAGTGCTCTGACAGTGAGGAAACTTTTCCTGATAACTAGACTGAATCTGGGTTGTTGCAACCTGAACTGATTATTCCGTGTCCTACACTCCTCTTTGGGACAGTCTTGGAGGTTCTTCTACTTATAGAGAGATACCATGTCCCCCCTCAGTCTTCTCTTCTCTCTGGGCTGAACATGCCCAGTTCTCTCAGTCTTTCCTCATAGGGCAGTGCTTCCAAACCCTGGATCATTTTTGTTGCCCTCCTCTGGACCCTTTCTAGTTTTTCCTGAATCTTTCTTAAATCTTGGTGCCCAGAACTGGGACACAGTATTCAAATAAGGTCTGACTAGTGAAGAGTATAGGGGAACTATTACTTCCAGTGATTTGGAAGTAATACTTGTATCAATGCATCCCAAAATAGCATTTCTCCTTTTGGCAGCTGCATCATATTGTTAGTTCATATTTAGCCTATTGTCCACAAGTATTTAGCCTATTGTCCAAGGTCTTTTTCTTTTTCAGTTCTGTTGTGCCAGATATTCCCCATCTTGTATCAATGCATTTGGTTTCTCTTTTCTAGGTGAAGGACTTGGCACTTGTCCTTATTGAATCTCATTCTGTTGCTTTCAGCCCAGCGTTCAGGTTTATCAAGATCGCTCTGGATTTTCATTCTATCTTCTAGGGTGTTTACTATTCCACCCAGCATTCCACTTCCCTGTTTTTCAGTTGCTATCCTTGCAAGGAGGAAAATGTACAGATTTTCCCAGCAAGAGTATTATGTTGTGTCCTGTTCTTGTCACTGTGCAAAGTTAAAGTTATTTAGAGTAGCTTGCCCTTAAATGGTTAACCATATATTTACAGCTTGCAGATTGTAGTGCTCCCAGCATCCCAGTAGAAAGGGCTGTGACTAAGTGACCTATACACCTGCTCAGAGGCTAATTGATGGGTAATTTCAAGGTCCCCCTCAATGGCTCTTGAGCTTTAAATTGGACTCAACAGAGTACTGTCCTCTGTAAAGTAGCATACATGTCTCCCCCTGCACCCTGGCACCAACAGATTAAAACACAGTCATACTTTAAAAGCTGACTAAAATTTCAGGGTTTGCAGTAGTTATCTGTGCAAATAGACACGGAGGGAGCAAGGCACATCTCCACCATCCAGGAAATCTATATTCTTGGCACTACCACTGAAATGGCTTTTACTATTGTGCCTATCTGACCTTACTGTAGTGACCAAGGACTTGCAGACAACCCCATCTGAAGACCAGTTGCTGGTACCTGCTGCAACTATTGAAGGTAAAACAAATCTGATTTTCTCAGCTCCCAGGCACTCTCAGTCCCTTGAGAACAATTGGTTCAAAGGTTCTGAGGAGAAGACAATAGTTTCTACTTCAAAGGAAAAGATAGGGAGATCATTTGCAGACTGTGTCACACTTAGCATGATCCTCTTTAATACATTTCTTATTTGGACTTCCGGTAATGGCGTCGAGACAAGGCAGATGTGATTAACGACCCTCCGTCGTTATCACGCTGGTAAATGTCCAGTGGTGAGTCGTGAGCCCAATCTAAGCCCTGTCGGGGCAGAAGATAAGTGCTGGAAATCTCCCAGGTGTTGTGGAACAGCAATTCCATGCCTACTGGGGGAGAATCAGGCATTTTCAGCTGGACAACACAGGGAGGAGATTAGTCTCCCATTAGTCTCCAACATACCAGAAGATTAGTTTAGGAATTTGTTGTTGGATTTACTGGGACACATTTATTTTCTGGGTTTTTTTTACATTATTACCTGTGGGAATGCTGGGTTTTTTTTGTTTGTTTGTTTGTTTGTTTGTTTTTTGCTAACTGATATAAGGGGGAAAAAAGGGAAGCCATCCTTTCACAGAACTGCAAGTGGCAACTGAGATGAAGGAGAGAGACAGGGCTGTTTGTAAGTAAAGAAAAGGCTTTCTTTTTCTAATCTCTCCAGGGCAAAAGAAAAAAGAAGCAATTAAGGTGGAATTGATTGAAAGAAAATCTTTCTCTATACTGGACTCCTGCCAAGGATATCTGGATATCTGCCAAGAAACTTTTATATTATGTAGCATTTTTCTCTATTTTACGATCATCCTTGGGTGAGCATTGCTTTACTTTCTTAGAAGGCTATTTGTGAAAAAGCTGTACTTGTTACTAATTGGTATGAGAACAAAGAAAGTAAGTCCTTTTGAGGGAGGGAGGAAGCTTCCCCCCCCTCCCCCCGCAGCAATCTAACCTTACAGGGAGAGGACTTAAGGCTTGTGTAAAAGCTGAAATTGTGTCTCTTAACCCTCCTCAAGGGCGGAAACTAAAGTAACAATTATGGAATTAAGCTATACCAGAATATAACTTGTTGAAAGTTACTTTTTGTGTTCTTGACCATCTAGTCGCTTTCTGGGACTTCTGCCAAAAAAGAAAGAAAGAAAATCGGATGACTGCCAAAATAAATTTCTGACAGGCTAATTAGAGAAGACTGTGATCTGCTGAGACCCAGTGGACATTGGAATTACTGCAAGCTATCTCTCTCTCTCTCTCTCTCTTTTTCCCTAACGATTTTCTGCTGACACCTGGTGGATATTGGAATTACTGCAAGCTCTTTTTTTTTCTCCCCTTTTTTTCCTTTAGTTCTTCTTCCTTTCAACTTCACCTTTCTTTTCTATTTTTTCTCTCTCCTTTTTGGTGAATAACCTTCATCATGAGGAAAACACAGACCTCTTCCTCAGCTCCCTGTTCAGCGACTCAGAGCCCAACTCACCAACCTAAGATAGAAGAGATGGCAAAAAGCTTAAGGGAATTGCAAACGACGACTTTGGCGATACAGACGGCCTTAACAGCTTTGCAAGCATCCCAAGAGAGGATGCAAGCTTCTCAAGAAGCGATGGTAACACGGCTGGAGAGTATGTCAAGTGAACAGAAAGAGCGATGGGATAAATTGGATAACTTGGAGATGGAGATGGGATAAATTGGAGAGAACAACTCAGTTTTCTGATGTTCGATTCAAAGCTGAACAGAATACACAAAAATTACAGCAAACACAGGGAAAGCTAGAAATGGTGGATAAAGAAACACAGTTAATCAAACAAACATGTAAGTCAACATGGGATGCTGTGACCGTATTAGAGATGGAAAAAGCACCTTATTACTTAAGATTTCAGAATATATTAGAGGAGAAGAGTGAGAACTTGTGGGAATTGATGACCAATATGCTGGCAGACCTCTTAGGTGTACATAATGAAGCCATGGAATTGGGGATCGACCTGATATATAGGGTCAATTCAAGCTATACTAGAAGAAACAAACTCCCGAGAGAAGTTCATGTCAAATTTTCTCTAAGGTCTATGAGAGACAATGTTTTGAAGGCTACACGTGAGAAACCGTTAAAGAGAGATGATCATCAAGAAGTGAAGGTTCTGAAACAAATACCATGGAGAGTTAGAGATGGGAGAAAGAAATACTTATTTCTTACCACGAAATTGATTAAGAAAGAGATTACTTTCAAGTGGTTAATACCAGAAGGAATATTTTTTCACTTGGAACTCTGTAAGATATAGATTAGACTCAATTCTCAAGCCCAAGAATTCTCAAGTCCAAGAATTGTATGAAAAATTTAGATCGATGCTCGAAGAGGAAGAACCCGGCATTGCAAAAGAAGAAGAAAAATGTACTGAAGCAATGGAAGTAACGGAGTATCATTCGGAAGAAGGAGAAGTAACGAATCTCGACGCACAGCAAGAAGCACAAATTTTGGACCCAAAGAAGAGAAAGGGTAGAGCTGTAAAGGCAAAAAATAAGTAGATATGTATATGTACATATATACATATATATTTATATAATTTTTCTTAAAAATGGCTACAAAAAGAGAAAGGAGAATTGAGTTCCTCTCCTTAAATGTTAATGGACTGAATGGACCCGCTAAGAGAAGAAGGGTTTTCACCCAACTTCAAAAATGAAAATTAGATATAATTTGTTTACAAGAAACACATATTAAGAAGCAAAGTGTTAAACTTTCGGAATGTTTAAAATTGGGAAAATTGTTTGTATCTTCTACTTCTCAAAAGAAAAGAGGTCTAGCACTCTATGTTAAGGAAAAACTGGAACCTAAATTTATTCTTGCTGATGAGGAAGGTAGAATTCTGATGACTGAAATTACAATTAAATGGAAAAAAGTACTTTTAATGGCAATATATGTGCCAAATGATCAGGAGACTTTTTACCAAAAATTACACATGTTACTTCTAGAAGTGGATTTCCAGACGATGTGTCTGAGATCTTAACATGATTGTGGATAAACAAATGGATTATAAGAATGTTAGTAAAGGAAAAAAGGGTAGGAGGATACTCCCAAAGTCCCAAACATGATTGAGGAATTTAGACTGACAGACGCTTGGAGGCACAAAAATCCATCTTCTGCCAAATACTCTTTTTACTCAAATAGACATAGGTCATGGTCTAGAATTGATATGGTTTGGATAACTCCACACTTAGTACCAGATCTGATAGAAGCTGAAATAGAGGCAAATGTCTGGGCAGATCACAACCCGGTATTCTTATCACTAAAAGGAACTGTAAGGGCGCCCAGATGGAGCCTAGATAAAGCATTGTTAAAAGATAAAAAATTCACAGAAAAGATGAATAAGGAAATGCAAGTATTTTTTCAAATAAATAAACCAGAAGAAACTTCTTTACAGAATGTCTGGGATACAGCCAAAGCCTATGTTAGAGGAGTGATAATAACATACTCAGCGCAAATAAATAAAAAGAAAAAAACAAGAGCAAGCTCTGATAGTAGAGGAATTGATGAAATTGGAACAAATGCTGCAGGAGGACCCATCAAAACAAAGTCTTAAGTCTCAGCTGGATATTTTAAGGCATAAGTTAAACCTTTTGGATACAAATGAGCTTACTAAACAAATGAAATTGACCAAACAGAATTTCTTTGAAATTGCTAATAAACTAGGGAGATGGTTAGCACATAAAGTTAAGAAAGAAAAAGAGAAGAGATTGATCGTGAAATTGAAAGACAGAGAAAGACAGCTACATTCACAGGGTGCACAGATCAAGAAAATAGTGGAAGACTTTTTTACAAAGCTTTATCAGAAGGAGGAGATTTCAATCGAGAAAGTTAAAGAATATATTCAAAAGGGAAAGTTACCAGAACTACCAGAGAAATATCAAAAATTATTAAACCAAAAAAGTCAGGATCATGGAAGTAATAGAAGCAATCAAGTGACGAAGGAATGACAAAACTCCTGGCCCGGATGGACTACCAGCAGAGTTTTACAAATCTTTCGAAGCAATTTTTGCTACACTCTTAAAAGACATATGTAATGAAGCATTGTTAAATGCTAAGATACCGACTACTTGGACCGAGGCAAATATCACATTAATACTGAAAGAAGATATGGATGTAGCACAGATTCAAAATTACCAACCTATATCACTATTAAATGTGGATTACAAAATTTTTGCTTCCATACTTGCAGAAAGATTAAAGAAGTTATTAATAGACTTTATCCATCCAGACCAGAATGGCTTTTTGCCAAAAAGACAAATGAAGAATAACCTGAGAACTATCTTGGATATTTTAGAATATTATGAGATACATACCGAAAAACGAATGGCCTTATTGTTTTTAGATGCCTAAAAAGCCTTTGATAATGTTAATTGGCAGTTTATGAAACAACAGATGATTCAAATGGAGTTTGGTGAAAGATTTATGAATGCGATATCAAGTATTTATCAAAAGCAATCGGCCAGGATCTTAATTGATGGAGAACTTTCAAACCCTATAGAGATTCAAAAGGGCACAAGACAAGGATGTCCTCTGTCACCCCTCTTGTTCATTATGACTTTAGAGGTACTGAATAGATGTGTTAGGGATGACGAGGACATCAAAGGAACTAGACTTAGGAATGAAAGTTATAAATTGCAAGCATTTGCGGATGATCTGATTTTTATAATGGAGGAACCATTTTCAACAATGCCCAAACTTCTACAACGGATTGAAGAACATGGTGAAGTTACGGGAATGAAAATAAATAGAGAAAAAACAAAATTGTTAGTTAAAAACCTTACGCAAGAACAAAAAGAAAGACTCCAGGAACAAGTAGACCTACAGATTGTTAAAAAGGTTAAATACTTGGGAATCTATCTTACAGCTAAATGTACTACCTTGAAAGAAGACAATTACGATAAATTATTGAAGGATATTAAAGGCTTTTTGGAAAAATGGGCCTATTTACAATTATCTTTGATGGGAAGAATAGCTCTTGTCAAAATGAATATATTACCTTAACTTTTGTTTTTGTTTCAAATGATTCCCATAAAAATTGATAAAAAATTCTTTGATGACTTAAACTTTCATATCTCGAGGTTTATCTGGAGAAAAAAAACCCCAAGGATTAAATTAAAAATGCTTCAGGAAGCTAAAAGAAATGGAGGTTTTGGTCTTCCTGATTGGGTGTTGTATTGTCAAGTGTCTGTTTTAACTTGGTTAAAAGAATGGATAACGCTGCGAAATAAGAGAATTTTGTATCTTGAAGATCATGACTTGCAGATGGGATGGCATGCTTATATGTGGTATGAACAGCTAAGTCACATGGGTCCTTCCTGAGTCATTTTATTAGAAGAACTTTAATGTCAATGTGGGAAAAACTAAAGCTAAAATTGTATAATAAGTTACCAAGATGGCTTTCACCTATGGAAGCTTTTGTATATCCAAATGTATTGAACTTTGAAAAGATCATAAGATATGGCGATATTCTGGATAAGGATGGTGGCCGGAAACTGGAGCAAGAAATACAAGAACAGGGACTTAATATTTCCTGGTGGTATAAGATGCAGATGCAATCAAGATATGCTAAGGATTGTAAAATATGGGGGTTCTATAGAGACCTAACAATTTGATCAAGTGATGCTTAAAACAGATGAGAAAATAATTAAAAGACTATATGATTTTTTACTTGACAGGAAAATGGAAGGAGAACAGGTTAAGGAAACTATGATAATATGGGCACAAAACTTTGGATTTAATGTTGAACTAGAAAAGTGGCAAAAACTATGGGAAAGAAACATTAAAGTAACTTTAGCAACTTCATATAAAGAAAACTTATATAAAATGTTCTATAGATGGTATTTGTCACCAAGTCAACTAGCTAAGATGTTTCCAAATATGTCAAATAGATGTTGGAAATGTAAACATAAAGTGGGTACTTTATATCATATGTGGTGGACTTGTGACAACGCAAAAAAGTACTGGATTAAAATACATAGATGGATGGAGGAAATATTACAAAAACCCTTTGCTTTTAAACCCCAAGTTTTCTTGTTAGGCATTATACCAGAAGATGTTAACAGATGGGAAATCTATTTGATGTTGCATCTAATTATAGTGGCGAGGATTGCATTTGCTCAATATTGGAAAAGTGAGGAGCTGCCCACCGATGGATTGATTCTAAGAAAGATCTTGGACTGTGCAGAAATGGATAGACTAACTTTATCGTTGAAGGAGAAAGAAGATACTGATTTCTATCGAACTTGGGACTCTTTTTATAATTGGCTGGAGAAACGGGACTTGGCGTAAATTTAGAGATGTTTTTCAAACTATGATAAACTAACTGGAATTTGATATTAGAATGTTAAAAAATATGTAGTAGGAGGTTGACCCAGTGAATCCAATGTTAATGTTTGTGATGCTTGATTTTTTTTTAGTCTTAGTTTAAACATTTTAATAAAATATATATATATAAATACATTTCTTATTTATTTTATATCCCTGGAAGAAATGGGACTTCTGAGTAGAATTAAATAGAAATGTGCCATAAATATATAAAATTATGTGGCAGTACTAAAACTGCATTCTTTAGATTGTTACAAAGCTGATGCAGAAGGAGAATCTGAATGTAGCTTCAGCTACATTCAGCTAAGTACGCCATAACAGTATCAATTCATTTCAAGACAACTTGTTTGATTGAGAACTATTGCTTAGGCATATTAACAGGCTTTAAAATAATTGAGGATTGATGAATAGATTTTCCCAATGAAATCAATCTTCGTCTGAAACTGGTCAAGTTTTGCATTTTCCTTAACAATTTATTCTTTTACATGTATTGTTAAGCTCAATTTGCACACCTGTTCAGATGGAGTTCTTGGAATTAAGGTATTTGAAATGAATGTCCACATTTAATAGGATCATCTCAAGATCCAGGAAGAACAAGTATAAAGTAAGTACAATTGCCTAGTGAGTTCAATGGTCACAATTGTTCCTGGTGATTAGCATCAAAACATCACACATTTTTCACCACCATTGAATGAAATGAATTGTTTAACAAATAAGCAGACAGAGCAATACAGTAGCCCCTAGACAGTCTTCAGGTGGCCACAGGCTTGTTTTGAGTGGGGGAATGCTTTGGGACAGAGATCCGGCTATGAGGTCAGAACTGTTCTAACCTTGTAGCTCAGTCGCTGAATACCATACAGCCACCTAGAGCCAGAGTGCTCTTTGGAGTGAGATGAAGTATTTAACAGTAGTAAAATGTAGTAGTTTTGTTTTCTCTGAAAAATAAATTAATAAAATGTGCAGTCACAACATTTCAAGATTTCTATTAAACTGTCTTTAATCATAACAGGCACTTTACAATGGTATATATTGGACACACTTTTATATATACAGCTTTAAAAGTATACAGTAAATGAGCTTTATTGAATTGAATTTGTCAGTATATTTGGTTTTTTTTAAAAGAGTGTCATAGTGGTTCCTATAAGAAGAAAGGTTTAACATAAAAATAAATTTCATTTCCAAAGTTATATGTTCATACATTATTTGCTAAGGAAATTGTTTTAATGACCAAAATAAGAATAAACAAACAACTGAATACAGCAGCAACCAACCACACAACCAATTAATGATGCACATTTATTTTCAAACAAGAAAATATTCATTTTTGAGGTCAATTCCTAGATGTGGTTACTAACTGGCAAGACTAATTTAGTCACCCTTTTCCCCCAAAAAGGCCTGTTTTCGTATCAGATAAATAAAATGTTTTATTCTGTAAACTAGTTTTTAAAGTATTATTTTGCTCAAAGTCTTACATACATTAAATATTTCTAATTAAGTGAGCAAGTTGCCATTAAAAAAACCACAATGTTGCATCCTTATCTCAAGATCATAATTTTTTACATGCATATGTAAACAAATGTATGCACATGATAAACCCAGGTTTGCAATGCATATAGGTGGAGTACATACACTGCTCAGAACCTGTTGGACATACACAGGCTGGGCAGCTGACTGTAGAATGTTGTGGTGGCTTCAGGTCTATACAAATGCTGGATAGGGCTCTCCATAAGAGAGTCAGGATGACTTGCATTATTTTCAACAGGAAAAAAGCAACTGTCTGTCAGTGTTATTGGGTCACTGCCCCATACACTGCCCCCCATTGCACTTTAGCTAAATAGCAGTTTAATTCTGGATGGTTTTATTACAGTCACTGACCAACTTGTTTACTTAAGTGTTGCCTTTGTAAAATACTGGCAAGACTGATTGGGCGTCTTGTCATGGTTGACAGTGAAGATGGTGGTGTAGAGTGATAAGGCTGAGTAGTCCTTAGGCCAAAAGTGTCTGGAATGCCATTTCTACGATTTTGTGATGATACAAACGGCGACATATAAGAAGTCCTAGTATTTGGCATGTTTAATGGCGATGACCTAGTAATTAAACACAAGATTGAATGTAGCATACAGAGAAGAGTAGACATAAAATAAAAAAGATAAAATCTCTGTCTGGAACCCTAAATAAGAGCACTTGTTAGGGGGGACTTTTCCCTCACAACTTTTTTACCCACAACATTTTCTTGTCAGTTCGCTTTCTCCTTCTAATCCAGTGTCCAAGCACCTACTATGCAGTAGAAAAATATTAGTTTGCAAATTTTCTTTCAGAACCAACACTTCGTGGCTTTAATTTTACCCCATTTTTATGCCTTATCTTAATATGTACATTTTATGTGTCTAGTTTCTTCTTCTACTGTACTGTAGTTTAAAAGCCAGTGTGGTGTAGTGGTTAAGAGCATGGGGCTGGGACTCAGAGGATCTGGGTTCTAGTCCCCGCTCAGCCATGGAGCCAACTGGGTGACTTTGGGCCAGTCACAGACTCTCAGCCCAACCTACCTCACAGGGTTGTTGTTGTGGGGATAAGATGGAGGAGGAGAGATGATGCAAGCTGCCTTGAGTCCTTTGTAGGAAAAATGCAGGATATAAATCACAATATAAATAAATAAATGAATGAATGAATGAATGAATGAATGAATGAACTATACATAAAAGGCAGTTGAGTGTCAGTTGTAGGGGTGGGGTGATGAAAAACGAAGGAGAGAAATGGTCTATTTAGACATTAACAAAGATTAGGGGAGGCCTGCACAGCATGACCCATACAACCAAATTCATTCTGGAAGCCATGTACTGTAATATACTAGGTTGGTTGGATAGTAAAAACAGGAGGTTTACTGAATGCCAGGAGAGATAGCATATACAGCTGTGGACTGCAAGTTGGATTAGCTGATTCATGTGCATTATGAAGTTAAACAATGCCCCAAGATATATGAGAAATTCCATTAGGAAAGACAGGAAAAAGGACAACTTTTCTCTTCAACCAGCCCAGAACTGGACCCATTTAGTGCTATCTAACAAAATGAGGAAAGGTTTCAGATGGATGTGTAAGAAAAAAAAGATGCCATTTTTACTTCCCCCACATCCTTATGAAACTATTATTTATCCAGTAAGCTGATAGCACAGGAACACTTTTGCTTCAGGTTGAGTCAAGCCCTGAACAGAAGAATACCTAGAAGAGGTTGAAGGTACATAGCAATATGTTATTCTTTTTTCCCAGGTTCCTTGACAACCATGCTAAGTCACAATGGTCAATCACCATGACTGGGTTTGGACAATGCAACAAGCAGCTGAGGGTTTTTTTAAATCACTGGTTGCTTGTTGTGAGACAAATCAGTTGTATAGCAGTTGAATCAAGTGAAGCACTCAGAGAACAACCATGCCCAGTTTTCTTAAGTTAGTCTCCATTTTTACAGCCCAAGGACATTGAGAAACTCTGTAGACAGGTTTGTGCAAGCATTTCTGTATTGGAAACATGACCATCCTGGCTTCTAAAGCCATCAAAAAAGGGAACAAATTGGTTGGGTCAGGGAGGTCAGCATTCCACTTTACAAGAGAGATTGATCTCAAGTCACCTGAGACAAGCTTGAAGAAAGTATCTATCATCCTGGAAGATCTCAGCAACTTTAGGCCAGTGGTGAATGTTCCCTTCCTAAGCAAGGTCCTTGAGTGTGTGGTGGCCAGTTCCAGGCATTCTGGGATGCAAGTGATTATCAAGATCCAGTTCAGTTCAGATTCAGGTCAGGTTTTGTCACAGAAACAAATCTGGTTGCCCTGCATGGATGGCCTATTCCAGGCATGAGTCAAGTAGAGGTATCAGACCCTTGCTGATACTCCTGGATTTCTTGGTAGCTTTTGATCAACCATGGTATCCTCCTGGAGTGTCTCAGCTGGGAGTGTGGGGGAATACTACTTTGCCATAGGTTCTTCTCCTACATTGATAATTGACTCCAGAAAGTGGTGCTGAGGAGCACTCCTCAGCTCTGTGGATTGTCCAGCATGTAAAACTGGGCCAGGGTTCATTTTAATTCCCCTATTTATTTATTACTGATATAAAACCACTGAGTGATTCATCTGGAACTGAGAGTGTGTTGCCATCTCCTTTTCATCCCAGTCAGATAGTAGTGGCAGCCACCTATTACTTCCTCAGCTGAAAGTGCTAGGTGAGGCAACAACAGCTGTGATCATCTTCCCCATTCACACTCCCAGTCTACATATAAGGGGCAGGGCCCAGAAGTATAGGGAACACAGAAGTTGCAGCTGCTTCACACTCTGCACCTTTCCCCATAGCACAAGATAAGGCAGGTACTGCTACCACCATCCTGTTTGCAATGCCTCTAGACCCCAAAAGCAAGGAAGCCACTGGTGGCCGTCTTGGCCAACACCTTTCTCTGCACAGCACTGGGTGATTTTAAAAATTGGTTTTTGTTGCTTGTGAAAAGAGGTTGCCCTCAGCTATAGTGGGCCTACCCACTTGACATCTGCCTAACCATGTTGGGTGGTAACACAAGACCTGGAATCTTTTGATTGTAAACTTTAAAAAAATGAAAGCCTTCCAAAGAAAATGGAGCATGTTCATTCCTCAGAAGCACTAGAATGTTGACAGTCCAGGATACTAAAACTTGCTATTTTGCAGCAACATGTAGATGGGGGTAGGAGTTAATTAGGATGAGGCTGCCATTTCCTGTGTTGCCTTTAGGCTATGAAACCTTTGGTAAAACAAAGATTTTACCTTTGTTTTAATATATTAAAAATTTATATTTTTACGGCAGGGTGGGTGACATCTTTACTGAAGGGTGGATGACAAATTCAAATGAACCAAAAGGAGGAAAAAAACTAATTTTGATACACAAATTACAACATTGTCACTTGGGAAGCTAGTAATTGCTACAATCATATAAGAATATTCTGGGTGACAATATTGTTGGAAGTCTCACCTTGCAAAAGAGAAAACTAATGGAAATGTTAAGGTTAGAGTTTAATTTTCAACAAACTGAAAATTGAATTTGTATTTAATGCAGCAAATATAAGTAAAATATATAATTGTTTACATAAACCTAGTACCTGAAATTTCACTAAACTGGAATTTAGGAATGAAAAAGATATTTGCATGAAGTAAAATCAATTTGAATGAAAATATTTCTCCTCTTGAAAGTTAAAAAAAACAATATTAAGTAACCAAATATAACAGGCATCTCATTACAGCTGGAATCCTACTGCAAGTTGATTTTAATTACCTTATTGAACCTGGTGTATCCTTTTGACATGAAGTAATTCCAGACAATCGAGAACTTCTGCATGTAACACTACCTGTAAATAATATGCCTATGTTAACATATTAAAGCTGGAATTTTATGCCCATTTACCCAGGTGTGAACCCCACTGGACTCATTAACAACACAGACCTACACATGCTTAGACAGAAAAATGTGCTGCTAGCAGGGGCATGCTAGGAGCTGTAGGATTTATTTGGATAAATAGTCATAGGATTACAATCTTTTACTGCTAAAGAAGGGAAGGAAGACAGGGAGTGTGGAGTCAGCCTAGTAGCACCCTGCTGCTGGCAACACAGCCTGCTGCTAGGCAGGACAGTGCAGTGAAAAATGGTGGCTGGAGCAGCTGCCATCGTAGCTGCAGCTCCTCATGCTGCTGAATTCACTTTTGGAAACAGAAAAACTGCAGAAAAACATTGTAACTGGGGTCACACTTAACAATAAGCAATGGTAATGCATGGAAATCCCAATACAGACTGCTGTTTTTCTGTGGGAATTTACAGTGATCAAAATTGCTATGCTTCACCATGCTTCCTGGAGTCACACATAATAACAAACAATCTCCAGCCTGGCTTGTTGCTACATATGAATTCAGCCACTGAGAAACCAACCAGTATGTTTTTTCCACTTTTACTGAGCAGCAATGTAGCCATTTGAACAACACAAAATTAAATTGCCCTGCCCAAGTGAGATGACTGAACACCCCATCATGGGACAAACAACCCCTAGAACAAGCCATGGGTTCTTACAGTGGTTTGTTCATGCAAAATAAACAACCTTGAAGAAACCATGCTGGGTATGATTGACACCACAAACCATCATGGCTTGTTATCCAGTTAGTGGGTTCGGTAAACCAGGGTGAAGAGACTGGGCTCACTTCTCTCAGCATACAGCATTCACTGGTAAATACCTCAGATTCTAAATCTTAACTGAAAGAAGGAGAGTCAGAATGCTTAGCTGAAATACCAAGGCCAATGAGTTTCAAGATAAACCAAATAAACTGCCTCTAGTTTAGGTGGAAGACACCATGGAACAGTGTCAAAGGGGAAGGGTGTAATTTGATCAGTCCAATTTTTAAAATATGTAATTATCTCTTCTTACCCATATGTCCATTTTGTGGTGGGCTTATCAATGATATCCTAGTAGGTCCAGTCACTGTTTCAGTCTAGGTGTATTGAAAGAGAAGATCATACCACAATATGAAAACATGCAATATAAGTATTAATATCATTTTATCTACACCTGGCAAATATTTTCAGAAAGAGGATGTTTTGTAATTTTTCCAGGAATTGCTTTCCACCAAGATTATCTCTAAAAAGGATGCAACTTCTAACTTAAGAAGATGGGTTTGAATTTCTAGATCTCGCCTTTTATCATCTGGCTTATCTATTGACTTGTACTGAATTTTGGTCTTTCCAGTATGCACTGAATCTTATGCCTTGATCAGTTTTGTAATATTCTTCTCTGGTACCTTTATCTAAATGGATGGCATTAGATTCTAGGCAAACTAAAGTCTCATGCAAAATTGACTTTATGAGTCAATTGAGATTTAAATATTAGTACTTTTTAGTAATTGCATGGCCAGCCTATATGCTTTTGAGTCCAATTCCAGGAGCTGGTTCTAACATATAAAGCTCTACAGAGCATGGGACTGCAAAGCCAATGGTACCCCTCTCCCAACCACCACCTATCCAGACACTTTAATCAGGATCTGAGGCCTACCTCTGTCACTTCCAAGGAAGGCATGGCTGGTAGCTACAAGGAGAAGAGCCTTCTTAGTGGTGGCCCTCCAGTCATGGATCAAGATTGCCACTGATGCACCAATTCTAATACCTTTTCAGTGCCAAGTTAAGATTGTCCTTTATGACAAGCCATATAATTAGCTTTAATATAATATTGGAGAAGTTGGTTAGTTGCTTAACAGGGCTTGTGATGTCATGTATTAAAGTTTAAGCAACTGGGTGAGCCACAATTGCATGTAGTTCAACCCTGCATGTGTGGAAGACAGAAGGTGGGGTGGAGAGGGAGTCAGCCAGTTTGTTTATTGAAGCATGTTGACCAAGTTTGTTATTATTTGCAGTAGTAGTAGTAATGTCATTTTTATATAACCTAATAGCCAATACTTTCTGGACATTCCACAATTCTTAAAAGCAAGTACAATAGTAAAAATTGATGACTATGGATGACTATAGAAATACAAATACCATGAAATACATCATAAACAATATACAAAACATAAAACAGTTTATACTAAACCAATTTCAGGAAGAAACTAGAGCTATTCAAATGGCAGACACCAACCTGTGGCCAAAAAGATGACAATGCTGGTACAATGTGGGACTCAGTGGGAAGATCATCCCATAATTTGTGGCCCATTACTGAGAACAGCATTCTCCTTTTTGCCTCCCTCCAGGACCAACCTTGGAGATGGCAGGTGGAGGAAGGTCCCAAGGGTGATCATTGTATCTAGGGAGATTGAAGTGGACTGTCCCAAACTGTGTAGCACTTTATAGATTACAACTAACACTTTGAATTGGACTCACAAGTCTACAAGCAGATCATGCACTACTTACAGTGAAGAAACACATGCATGTCCATTTGAGAAAAATCACATACAAAGCCAGCCAGGGTGGAGTGGTTAAGTTAAACACTGGAAAAGCTCTGAATGGTTTGTCACCAGCTCAACAGCCTGGTTGGGTCCACCACAAACTGGTGTGCTCTTGCTTTGGCTTACATTATAACTATGTTTACTGATTTGCTACAAGTTCACAGAAAAATTAATTCACAGTGGCTTGCATTATATATGACCTAGATCTATGAGTGAGAGACAGAAAATAATCTTACACTGCCTTAAGGAGTGTTGACATTGTAGTTTTCTGCCAAAATGTATATACATCATGTCCCTCTCACTGGGCATCTTATAGTTTTAAGAGGTCAAGCTAGGAAGCAATTTGCCTTATTTATTACATGTATATTCCGCCTTTATTCCTTTGAGGAACCCAAGATGGGCTACATAATTTTCCCCTCCTATTTTATCCTCACATCAACCCTGTGAGATAGGTTAGGCCAAGAGTCAGTGACTGGCTCAAAGTCATCCAGTGAGCTTCATGGCCAAGTGGTGACTTGAACTCCTGTGCCACAGTTCAACACAGTAACCACTGTACCACTCTAGCCTTTTGTCACAAATCTAAAGGAATTAGAGTTGAACCTTTAGAATTATAACTATTTCTAGATAAAAAAGAGAAAGTAACTTACTTTCCTTACTGAAGAAGGCAAATGATCCACCTCCATTGATGATACCCTATCAATAAATTGGGATTCATATGGAAAAAAATGCAGAATGTCTAATATTAGTATGAAAAATTACCAGCGAAACACAAAAATCACTATACTTACATTGCACCATGTTATATTTGATTTGCTTTATTACAAATAGTACACTATTGCAATATTAAACTAAGCTAACCCTATTAAGGCCTTTTGTGATGTAATAAATATGAATTCTTTCAAGCCATTTATCTCCTATTTCATGCGTCCTCAAATTATGGCCCGCGGGACAGATCCAGCCCACCATGCCCTTTTATCTGACCCGCCTCAGAGGTTCTGGACTCACTACGCCCACATCCACGCCTGCCACTGCCCACAGCTTGCTCACATGGAGTTCATTTTGGACTTGCTCGGGGAAAATGATTTCCAGGTAAGCAAACCACTCCCTTGCCAGGCGCTCACGTCCCCGCCTTGCTGTGCCCCCTGCCCCCACCTCGCCTTGTGTGCCCTGCCCCCGCCCCCTTGCCTGCCTGTGCCCACTACCGGCACCTTTCAACTGACTCCGCTGATAAGGTTTGAGGACCCCTGTCCTATTTCATAGCCTACAGACATCCCTGCACACTTCAAACACCTTTGTAAAGAACTAGATTCTTACTGATAACTTCAGAGACTCACAGAACAATTCTAAACATGTCAATTCAGAAGTAAATCCTACTGGATTCAGTAGGTCATTCCCTTGGGCAAGCAGGTATAGGACTGCATCTTTAAATGCTGCTGTGAATTAAAAGTGAGCAATTCTGCCTTATCATAATTAGATAAATTTCCTGACTCATAGTAAGCAATCATTTCATTGATTTTTGGAATGTTCTGCACTAGTGAATGGATCTGAATGTAGCAAAGATGTAATACTTTTCTACTTAAGACAATGAGAGGTCTCTTGAATCAAACCAAAGGTCTGGCTTAGTGCAACATCTTATTTTCCAGAGCAACTTGCCCCAGACAGGGCATGAAGGCAGCAACACTCTAAACTTAAAGTATTCAGAATTCCAATTGTCATGCTAATAATTTAGAAGCTGCTTACTGTTGCAGTTGCTGTAGATGCTGAATATGTTGTGTTGCTTTCTTAAGATATCCTTCCAGTTTTGTAATCTGTATGGAATGGTATTTCATTACTTTAATCTTTATTATTTCTATTCTTATTCACCACCATTGAAAATGTCCAACAATTTTAATGGGATCATTCCAGAGTAGGGCTTTTTGGTTCAGAAAATGATGTTCTGATGGTTACATGATACAAAACACCAGAGTGATCTAGCCCATTCATATGGAAGTAAGCAAGAACCCTCTGCACCTGCCCCACCTCTACTATTTAATAATACTGATGGATTAGTTGACCCCTTACATTTTAGTAATATATAACATTAAAATGTAAATGTGACTTCACCAAACCTTACAATAACCCAATATTTCAGTTCAATATGAGCTCAAAGTACCTTTCCCCTGTAGTGTGCCAATAGTCGTCTTCTGTGTTTTTCCTGGAACTGGGCAATCTAAAAATTAAGGGAAGGAGAAACAATACTAGATAGTGTACAAGTAAAATTACTGTAATAAAGACTAGAAGAGAAGAGTAAAATCAAAAAGAATAAAAACATCTAAAAGGACATCTGTTCTTCAATACGCCCTCTGCCTCACCTTAAAAAATCACAAATGGAAAGAGAAGCAGCTAAGTGTTAGCATACCTCCTGCTTCTAAGTATAGAATTTTTGGCAACCAGGTTCTCTTGCTCCAGTACTGCTAAGTATTTGAGTGAATGTAGAAAGTGTGAATTAGTTGAATTTAACTGCATTTTATCTAAAATTTTAAAAGTTGTGCTTAGGTTTGTCAGTTGGCATCTCATCCCATGATCCAAATAATTTGTAAAAGTGATTTGGAATTTTTATAAATGCATGGCTCACAATTGACTGCTCTATTTCTGCTCATTTTCACACAGAACTCTACAGTTTTGAAAGAGCTCCAAAACAAACCTTAAAAGCACAACTAGGACTTTTTTCTGTCTCAGCAGAAAGAACTGCACACTAAAGAAATCCTACAGGTAGGACTCATTTCACTTTATGTAAAAAAATAATGAGTACATGTTTTGCAGGAAATAGGATCATTAGCACATTTAGGTATGTTATGGCTCTGACACCAGTGATTAAAATGTGCATCACTCTGTAATAGTCCAAAAAATCCATGACCTCAATGTGGTAGTACTGATCTGGCATGTAATGATCCATCTTTAACAAAGAACATACATACAAACAAACGAACGATTTATTCCCTTGTTTCTAAAGCCAATTTACTCTAAATACAATGTTTTCTCCAAGCTTAGATAGTAAAAAGCAGAGGATATGTTCAATAGAGTCCTTTTCCAGTCTTCCTGTACCATGTTATATTACCTCAACATTGAGTATAGTATAGCCTAGGCCATTCCCTTACTCCACCAGTGGTCTACTTTTCTCTAAAATGCCATTTCTGGCACCAATGAAGCTGAGAAAGCACTCAAACTTCTACTCAAAATATCCTCTGTTTTATGGAAGGGTAGCAACCTATTGGATACCACATATGAGCTTCAGTTTCCAAGTGATGCACAGGATGTACTTATACTTTCTACCCTGTTAAAGTTTTGGCTTTCTTTTCAGAATTTGGATTTAGTACTACTTCAGTAAATACTTCAGTAATTATATATTTACACAGTGAAGGATGTGGGAAGAATGAACATGATTTTTATACATGTTCAATTTTTGTATGTATATGATTTTTACTAAGTATTCCATATATAATAGAAATTATATCATGAAAAGGTTTTCCTTTCATTGAAATGTTAATCATAACAACTAATTGCTCTATTTAAACTTCTTTAAGAAATACCAGTGTTGAATTTCCTCTTGCAAGACTGTTTACTGAAGAAAACTATTATATAGTACATTCCTGTTGAAAAAATACTCAAAATAGTTCACAGGCAACTCACTTGTGTGACTTCTTTTGCATATTTTCTGCATAATCCATCTATTCCCATAAACAATGACTGGATATTTGAATTCATCTGCAGTGAAGCAAATTGCACATTATCAAAAATAATATGTTATAAATATTATTGAAATCTTCAAAAATAAACCAACTTACAGGAAACATCTTAACACACTCTAATCTCTCTCTCTACATGTGCACACACATGCATACACACACACACACCCCTAGAATTTTTCTTACATGACATCAAATCTGCAATTTATCACAACCTTATGAATGAGTAACCTCTAGAATGACTGGTCCTTGGTCCTTGACAGTCCTACTCAGCTCTTCTTAAACTCAAGGCTGTGGCTTTGTAGAATTAAACCATCTCATTGACGGTTTATTTTTTTTTCTGCCTTTGACTTTCCCTGTCTTCTCCATTAAGTCATGCCTTCTTATGATGTTCCTGAAGCACTATAGCTTCAGGGGTTTTTTTTGGGGGGGGGGTTGTTTTTATTTTTTGCTTCCAGGAAAAGTTCTGAGGCCCACTTGTTCATCTTCCTGTTAGTCCAGGATATTTGCAAAGTTCTCCTCCAGCACCATGTTGTAAATGCATCAATTTTTTCTGTCATATTTCTTTCACTGTCCAGCTTTCACAACTATGCAGTGATCTTATATGCATGATCTTGGCCCTGGTTTCCAGTGAAACATCCTTACTTTTGATTATCTTTTCTAGTCCCTGCTCTTGCTGCCCTGCCACATTTCAGTCCTCTTCTAATTTCTTGACTGCAGTCTCCATTTGAATTAATGACTGAGCCAACGTATGCAAAATCTTTCATAATTTCAATTTCTTCATTACTGAAGTTAATGTGTAATTTTTCCATAGTCAGGATTTTTGGATCTTTGCTGTCCTGCTTTTGCACTTTCTTCTTTTCATTTCATCAGGTATCATTTCAATTCGTTACTGCTTTCTGCCATTAATATGGCATCACCCTCATATCTTATAAATCGGGGTTGTCAGACTTGCTCAACAGAAAAGCCACATAAATTACATGTCAGATGTTTGAGAGCTGTAAGTAGGCACCCATGGGCAGTGGTGGTCAGTAGCAAGCAGGCAACTGTGAGGAGCATTCGGGTGGCAAGTAGATCAGAAAGATTACTAACAGGAGGCAGAAGAACTGTGGAATGACACCATAGATATTAGATAAAGAAAGGAAAAGTCTGGATGGATAATGGAAGCAACACTAACAATTGCTAGAGACAGGTGAGAAGCAAGAGGTGACAGAAATAGGGTGAGAATACTAAATGGAAGTTTTCAGTGACTTGCATTTAAAAACAAAAAGATCTGTTACAATGACCAGTGCAAAGAAATAGAAGAGAATAACAAAAGAAGAAAACCAACAGATTTTTTTTTTTAGAAGATCAAATAAATCAAGGGGAACTTCAAACCTAGATTAGGAAGATGAAAGACATACAGGGAAATGTACTATCTGACCAGGCTAAAATAAAGAGAAGGTGGAAAAATATACAGAAGAACTATTCCAGTGCGATGGCCAACTCTTTCAAAGAGAATTCCTATAAGGAAGAAGCTGCAATATTAGAAAGTGAACTGAAAACTGCTCTGAAAGCACTTGAAAGAGATAAAGCACCCAGAGTAGGTAGGGTACCAAAAGAACTCTTCTAAGATGCAGAGACTTAATTGGTCCAAATCCTAACAATATCCCAATGAATATGAAAAACAAAATATTGGCCCACAGACTAGAAACATTCAATATCCATTTCAGTCCCCAAGAAATGAGATGTTAATAAGTGCAGCAACTATAGGACTGGCACACTGATTTCCCATGCAAACAAAGTGATGTTCAATGTGTTGTAACCAAGAATTTAGGCTATATGGATTCAAGCAGGATTCCCAAAAAAGAAGAGATATTAGAGATCATATTGAAAATGTACACTGATTACTGGACCACACCAAAGAATTTCAGAAGATCAGTCTGTGCTCTACAGGCTACAGCAAAGTGTTTGACTGGATCATGAAAAGCTGTGGATAATCCTGCATAAAATGTGTCTCAGCACTTGTTAATCTTTATAAATAACATGTATTGTAGATAAGAAGCTATTGTTGGGACAAAATATGGAGAAACAGAATGGTTTTGTATAGGCAAAGGTACATTTGTATAGACAAGGGTGTTTTTTTTTATTTTCCTATCTGTTTAACTTGCATGCAGTCTGTATCTTTAGTTGGATTAGGATCAGAGTTTATTTTGAGACTTGCCACACCACCTGGAGTGCCCATGGGTGCTCTTCACAGTTGCCTGCTTGCTACCAACCAGCACTGCCCATGAGTGCCTACTTGCAGCTCTCAAACATCTGTCATGTAATGTATGCACTTCTATGGTACCTTCACAGAAGCCAGTGCCAACACAAACCTGAAATTACAGCAGCAGGATTCTCATTATTACCAATGCTAAGTAGTCCATTAACGGTATTCACATTTACAGATATGGGTAATAGCTCTGCAATTAGAACAGAGGCCATTTTATTTGGGATTAAATTCCACTGAAATTAATAATAGTTCAGCTTTGACCTAAGGTACCCTTCAAAAATGTCTATTAAGCATCTTGTAAATCACTAGATACATTATAGTTGCTTGAAACTATTTTTATACCTCTTTTGAAAGTACTATTGTACGGCAAGTTGCTCTGCAAATCATGCACTCATCTTTTTTACCTATAAAATAAAGAACAATGTATAGTACATGGTTTGGTAGCAGGCACCCACTGACAAAATCATCAGTTCCACCTTAACCTTTTCATCCACAGTGAACACAAATCATCTTAAGAAACTTTAGAATCTGTAACCATCTTAATAGCTTGGCTGTTTTATCTTTTCAGAAAGACTTAACATGAAGAAGAGGTGTGATCTGATGAGTGAAATTTCTGGAGTTGATTTTATTCTTATTTATAGACTGCCTGTTTTCCTCTTGTGAGGAACCCAAGGTGACTACAAAGGTCCATTTTAGCCTCACAACTCTATGAGGCTGGTTAGGCTGAGAATGAGTGAGTGGCCTGAACTCATCCAGTGAGTTTCATGGTCAAATGAGGTCCCCAGACCAAAACTCTAAGCACCCAGCCACTCTGACACTTTGTCACGTTTCTTAGTATGAAGATATTCAAATAAGAAATGAAGATCATATCATGGTTCTGCACAGATCATAGAATATATAATGAGGTATATAATGAGTTCAGATTACTTCGCTTGGACAATAGGGTTTAACTGCAGGTACTCTTGAAACAGTAAATTCATCAGAATATCTGTTTCCGTAAGGGAATGCAAGGGTGTAATAGAAGTATATTAGAAACGCTTGAAGCGAAGACAGCTTGGCCAGTCAAAACACACCTTTCCGGAGACACCGCTCACAGACAACGTGGCCACAGTTGGTCAGGCAGAACTTCGGCGAGGCTCCGCGCGGTTTCTGGAAACAGGAGTTGCAGAACACCAAAGCCGCCATGACAGAGGAGAGGAGAGGCTGGCTGCCTCGCTCGCCTTGCTCTGCTTTCAACTACGGCCAGTGAGCGGAACCCCTGCGGGTACCCTGGCGCTGGGCCTTCGGGCTGAAGGGGCGGCGGCCACCAGCCGCTGACCCTCCATTCAAAGGAAAGGGCTGTTCCCGGGAGCTGCCGGTCGTCTCCGCCAGGTTCGCCTCACGCGAGGAAGCGCCCCTGAGGGAAGAGGAAGGGGCGCCTTTTCTCCGCCCGCCCCCCGGAGAGAGCGAGGAGCACCGGCGTCCCCTCCCCGCCAAGAGGAGGCGCCCCTTCGGCATAGTTCCCTGGAGGGAAGGGGAGGCCACATGTTAGGAAGTCGCAAGACTGACTTTTCTCTAAATGCTCAGAATATATAGAGTGGTGATTTCACTGCCGTGAGGCTACTACCGAACCAAGTGACGAGAATTTAGATGTTTCTAGGGCATCAGTCAGAGCTGCCCATCGATGTCAATGAGGAAATGTTCCGCTGAACTGTAGCTGCGGTTAGGTATCCCTTGCCTACATTGCTACCCAAATGAAATGTAGCACCAAGAGAGCTGTAGTTTAGCCTTACTTAGAATAAGCATAGTAAGTGCTTTTGGGTTTCTACAATTAAGAAAATAACTGTCTATAGTGAGTGGCAATAGTCTGTTATCATAGTAAAGCAAGTTAGAGAGACTGAAAAGGCTTATAACAACCTTGCAGAGTAGTCTAATGTTAATGTTGTAGGATGGAGCATGGGGGTAATGTTGAACCTTTGGAGACTTGTGGTGGACTTGCAATATAATCTACTCTTAATACTGGAGATGTGGCGGAGTTTACTTAAATTTTCAACCAAAACCAAACTCCACACAACATTATTTCAAGATGTAACCTTAAAGGTTTAGTCCTATGACTCCCAGCATTCCCTAAACCAACAGGGAATAACTAGGAAATGTTGGGAGTTGTAGGACTGCCTTCTGTTTAAATATGGATAGGACCTCACCCTAAATTCGACAAATCAAGCCCCTCCCAAAAAGCCAGTTCTCAGTTGCAAGATAGTGTAGTGTTGTGGTTAAAGAGCTGGGCTGAGACTTAGGAGACCTGGGTTTTAGTCCTTTGTTGTTGTTAGTCACGAAGTCATTTCCCACCCATCGCAACCCCATGGACAATATTCCTCCAGGCCTTCCTGTCCTCCACCATCCCCTCGAGTCCACTTAAGCTCACACCGACTGCTTCAGTGACTCCATCTAGCCGCCTCATTCTCTCCCACCCCCTTCTTCTTTTGCCATCTATTGTTCCCAGCATTAGGCTCTTCTCCAGGGAGACCTTCCTTCTCATTAGGTGGCCAAAGTATTTGAGTTTCATCTTCAGTATCTGGCCCTCTAAAGAGCAGTCAGGGTTGATCTCCTCTAGGACTGACCGATTTGATTGCCTTGCGGTCCAAGGGACTCTCAGGAGTCTCCTCCAGCACCACAATTCAAAGGCCTCAATTCTTCGGTGCTCATGGTCCAACTTTCACAGCCATACATTGCAACTGGGAAAACCATAGCCTTGACTATATGCACTTTTGTTGGCAGGGTGATGTCTCTGCTTTTTAGTATGCTGTCTAGATTTGCCATAGCTTTCCTCCCCAGGAGCAAGCATCTTTTAATTTCTTGGGTGCAGTCTCCATCTGCAGTGATCTTGGAGCCCAGGAAAATAAAATCTGTCACTACCTCCATTTTTTCCCCATCTATTTGCCAGGAAGTGAGAGGACCAGATGCCATGATCTTAGTTTTCTTAATATTGAGTTTCAAGCCAACTTTTGCTCTCTCCTCCTTCACCCGCATCAAGAGGCTCTTTAATTCCTCTTCACTTTCTGCCATTAGAGTGGTTTCATCTGAACATCTGAGGTTGTTGATATTTCTCCCAGCAATCTTAATTCCAGCTGGTGATTCATTGAGCCCCGCCTTTCTCATGATGTGCTCTGCATATAAGTTAAATAGGCAGGGCGACAGTATACAGTCTTGGCAAACTCCTTTCTCAATTTTGAACCAATCAGTGGTTCCGTGTCCAGTTCTCACTGTTGCTTCTTGACCCACATATAGGTTTCTCAAGAGACAAATAAGATGGTCTGGTACTCCCATCTCTTTAAGAACTTGCCACAATTTGTTGTGATCCACACAAAGGCTTTAGCATAGTCAATGAAGCAGAAGTAGATGTTTTTCTGGAGCTCCCTAGCTTTCTCCATGATCCAGTGTATGTTGGCAATTTGATCTCTAGCTCCTCTCCCTCTTCGAAATCCTGCCTGTACTTCTGGTAGTTCTCGGTCCACATACTGCTGGAGCCTAGCTTGTAGGATTTTGAGCATAACTTTGCTAGCATGTGAAATGAGTGCAATGGTATGGTAGTTTGAACATTCTTTGGCCTTGCCCTTCTTTGGGATCGGAATGTAAACTGACCTTTTCCAATCCTGTGGCAACTGTTGAGTTTTCCAAGTTTGCTGGCATATTGAGTGTAGCACTTTTACTGCATCGTCTTTTAAGATTTTGAATAGCTTAGCTGGAATACTGTCACCTCAACTAGCTTTGTTGTTGCTCAGACTTCCTAAGGCCCATTTGACTTCACATTCCAGGATGTCTGGCTCGAGGTCAGTGACCACCCCAACGTGGTCATCAGGGATGTGGTTTAGTCCTTACTTGGCCTTGAAACTTGCTGGGTGATTTTGAGATCATCACTGACTCAGCTTAATTTATCTCACAGGATTGTTGTGAGGACAAATGGAGAGGAGGAGGATCTGTGGACTCCTTCAAGGAAAGGTGGATGAATATAAATGTAACAAATAAATTGCAAACAGAAGCCTCGTACTTGACTGACTGGTATTGTACTTTTGAACGTTTAAAACGCTCTCTAAAACCATGTGAGAGAAGCTAAGAACTGAATTAGAAAGCACAGGAACTCCTCTCTTTTGATTCAGGGTAGGGAAGCTGGCTGATAACATGGTGCTGTCCAATCACAGCAGTGCTAAAATCCTAAATTTCCTCACTGATTTCTTGGAGCTTCTCTAACTTACATATTGACAGTATTCAGACAACATGAGAACTCTCAAGTGAGTTGTTGTTGAACCATGAGTTAGCATGTTGTTTGCTTCCAGCTAAGATAATAAACTATGGAGAACAGACTACAGTTTACCACCAACAAGGGTTGTCTTCGTGGTTTGTTCATGGTTAGGAGATGGGTTCAGACAGCACGTTTTAATGACAGCCCATGGTTTAGCAACAGCAACTTACACTCAAATACCCAGTCACTATCTAACGAGAGAAAGGCTAAAAAGAAAAAGAGCACAATTGAAACCTGGATCTGGCTACTGTGTGTTAGTCTCAACAATTACAAATCTATACGCCCCCTTCCCTTTCAAGCGCGCTCTCGCATTCTCTCGGCCGTGGGGCAGTTGTCGCGAGAACAGCGAATGAAGCGAGTCGCGGCGCTTCGAGGTTGGCGGAGCGGCGCGCTGCTGGTCTCTTGCTCGGCCGGATCGGCTGCTGCGCGGCAGAGGCTGCTGCTGGTGGCGGTGCTGCTGCGATGGGGCTGCAAGGCGTCAAGGCGGTTTTCTTCGACTTGGACAACACGCTGATCGACACCGCCGCGGCAGGCAGGAGAGCCATTGAGGAGGTACTCCTTACTCCCAGCACCTTCCCACCTTTTCTTCCGCCATCAGGAAACGGGGAAGCGCAGTAAGCATAGCCAGACAGGCAGGCAGGGCTTGTGGTAGAGTAGGCGTCTCCAACCTGCTGCCTTCCAGCTATGCCAGACTACAACTCCCATGATCTCCCCCCCACCCAGCCAACTGGCGGAGGATTATAAGAGTTGTAACCGCACACAGCTGAAGGGTGCAGAGTTGAGAAAGGCTCCTTAGTCTTCTTTTCAAGGGTTTCCTTCTCTGAAACCGGCTACTTTAAGACTGTGTAAGCGGTGACTTCCATGGAGTAGGTGTAAATCGTATTACCACATCCAGTTTTACACTGGTGACTGATGCCAAAGAGGCCAGTGGCAACAGTCTCTGCTCTATGACAGTTGGGGTTTATAAGATCTCCTTCCTTGAAGATTTTAAAACAATTTTAAACCATTGTATTTTAAAATGGAGAATGGATCTCAGATTTTTCAAACAAATGCTTGATCGTCATGCTATAGCTCATCTCTATTCAGTCAAGAATGCAGTAAAAAGGTTTTACACAGCTGGTTTAAAAAATGTGGACTTGCATAAAGTCCTAGTTTTAGGTCATCCCACCTTCAAGTGTATTATGTCTTTTCACAGAAGGAGAACTTCTGTAACTGTACAACAAAGTTAATAGCTGTAGTACTGCTATCAGCATGTGTGTTAGAGCAACGTCTCTTTAACCTGTCTGTTTTGTTTATTTCTTTGAACAATGTATTATTTGTATTGAGCAAAGAATTGTTTCAGCCAATACTCACAGGAAAAAATTTCTATTAATTTTGTAGTTCCCTATATTGCTGCAGTTGTTGGGGCTGACATGTACAAATTCCATCTCACCTGCTACATTGTAGATTATTCTAGTGAGAGATGAAACAGCCACAAATACTGATTGAGTGAGTCAATGCAAAAGATGAGTCAATGCATAATTTGCCCTCTGACACAGTGCCTGTAAAGGGGCTGGGAAATGCATAGCTCTCCAGGTGTGGTGTGACTGCCAATCGGATCAGCCCTAATGAGAAAGGCCAATAGTGAGAGATGTTGGGAACAGCAGTCTAGTAACATCTAGAGAGTTTGACATTTCCCATCCCTCCTCTACTATGAGGGGCACCTCATGAATACTAGTGCATTCTTCATATTGCAGGCTCTTGTAGCATCCATACTGTTGTCCATTCAAATAAATGTCTGTGGAATAAGCCATTGCCCCCTACCAAGGAAACAATACACTAAATCAAACCAATCCTGTTCTGTTTTGACCATTTCTTTATAGGTAAAAACTGTCTTACAGTCAGAGCATCATTGTGATGAAAAAGAAGCACGCATGATTTGTGAAAAAGTTCAAGCCAAGCTCCTCAAAGAATGCCATGATCCTTCTAAGATGTGTATTACTGACTTAAGGATTCAGCACTGGGAGGAAGCTATACAAGAAATAAAAGGAGGAACAGCCAATCGGAATCTGGCTACAGAATGTTATTTCCTTTGGAAAACTACCCGTCTGCAACATTTGACCTTGGCAGAGGAGACACAAAGGATGCTCAGTGACCTTAGAAAGTTTGTCCGTTTGCTTCTGCTAACTAATGGAGACACACAGACACAGAGAGAGAAGATTGAAGCCTGTGCTTGCCAGCCATATTTTGATGCTATTGTTGTAGGAGGAGAACAAAAAGAAGAAAAACCAGCTTCTTCCATATTTCATTATTGTTGTGAACTTCTAGGTGTTCAGCCTGAAGACTGTGTGATGGTTGGTGACTCTCTAGATACAGACATTCAAGGAGGTCTGAATGCTGGCTTGAAAGCAACCATTTGGATAAATAAAACCATAGCTGCTCCAAAAGACACTTCTCCAGTCCCTCATTATATTATTTCTTCTGTTCTTGATCTTCCAGGACTTTTACAGAACAAAGGAGATGCTAACTTAGAAATGAACAAGGTGGCTGGTATTTGTAATGTGTGTGATAGTCCCACTGAGGAATCTAGGGCCTGAGCATGCTAGGGTTCATGTTGAAGCATGTGGTTCCCATGTTTACCTTGCAAGGGTATTTCAGGGGAGGGCATTTGCAGGCAAGAATCAGTGGACAGGATGTGCTTAACATGTATCCCCCTGTCAGTTCTCTTCATGTTCTTTGTCTCTTAGCCATTTTTCTTTAGCTACCTCTGAGACTAGAAATAAATCCAACTACAGGGAAACCAGCTTGGAAGAAAAGTTTATTTATTAAAAAAAGGTTTATTCCATTTCACAGCCAAAAAAAGTCTCCTGTAGTAGCCTACAGTCAATCGAAAAAAGAAGATATTCGCTACTTGCGCACAGGTTTACAATGTAAAATGACACAAGGAAGAAGGAATGGGGAGTGAAGAGGGGAGAACTGTATGACTCAGCAGCTGGTAGACTGGCCCTACTTCCTCTCTCATCTCCCATGGTGGGGGTGTTCCAGCTAGAGCAAGTACCAAAGTTATGTGGAGAATTGGTAGGCTGTAGAAATTTAAGTACTGCCTTCCTACTCACTGATTCTCACCTATGGAGGTCCTCTAGCCCCATTTTAGTGTTACCTGGAAAAAATATTTATGAAAGTAATGAATTATCTGCCTCAAGAAAGAAAAGAGTGAATATAGTTTGGATTTCGTTGAATTTTAATAGCTTGTAAGTGGAGAAGTTCAAGCAAAGACAGTTGTTTGAAACTATGAAATTGATGGAAAACTATAGCAAGTTTCACAATAAAAAGTGCCATTCTGAAATCACATACATGTCACAATGTAGAACAAACTATATGAAGAATCTGTGTTAGGGGTGTAGAGTTAACTCCTGAAAAATAGCTAATAATGATTATTAAAAATATCTGGATGTATAGAAGCTTTTGTCTTCTATAATTTTCTACATTTTTGTAATGGTTGATACTTGAGAATTTTTATGGGTTTTTGCGGTGTTCAGAACTCTGTAGAGAAATAGATATGTGTATGTGGGAGAGAGGGGTGAATGTATACAGACCCATTTATCAGAAATGCCAAAATGGAATGCTTTATGTGAGATATTAATGTATTGATTTAAATCTTAGCAGTCTAATGATAACTTCACTATGGAAGATAATTTTAGCATAAATGCCTTTTTCAGCCTTTCTCAGATGTTTTGCTCTTTGGATTCTGGCTCCTACACAATCACAGTAATTGCTTTGGGACTATTCTGTGCATGAAACATCACAAAATGTAGATCTTACCTTAATAGATTTTATTATACAATTCCAATAGTGCAATAGTATAAGAGATTTGTGATGGCTCTTGAATGCTGTTGTACATACATAACTGTAGCTTTCCCACAGGCAGCTTGTTGGCCATGGTATGAGCTGAAGGCTGAACTAGCTGGGCCCTTGGTCTAATCCAATCCAGCACAACTCTTCTTATGTTCTGGTGAAAGAAGAATCCAAACATAGGCCTTGCATGAAGCCTGAAACAACAATCCAAAGATAGTTTAAAAAATAGTAATTGATTGCCTTTTAATAGCTTCCCAAAATTTGCTGCATGACCCCAATCCAGCAGAAGAGCGGTAGCAGGCCGCACTCATGCTGCTGTACCCAAGTGTAAATAATGTATACTTATATTGAAGTATTCACCTGATAGCTATAGGTGACAAGGAATTCCACATAAGTGCCTGAAAGGATTGGTGAGGGATGGATGGATGGAGCAATATGTCTGTCTGAACCATAATAAAAAATCAGTGTGTTACTGGAGGAAAGAAAGAGCCTCCATCCCTCCTCTGTCATCCCCATAGCAAGCTAGTAATATTGTTTTGCAGGTTTGTAACTTTTTAAAATACCTTTTTACTGTTGATTTTAACAACTAAAATGTCCTCTCAAAGAGAATTACAGTTCAAAAGGTTATAAACAATACAATAAGCATCCAATTATAAAAACCCAAAGTAACTTTCGAAAGCCTTCTATGAGCTTATTTGCAAGGCTAAAATCATGCAGAAACATGGCAAACACTACAGGTCTGGCCAGGTATGCCTCAAGCATTGCTGCACTGTGTAGCCAGACTATAGAGCCAAGGGCCCCTGGGCCAGTAGGTAGTACTGTGCAGGTATTTTTAATATTTATAGTTATTAGATGTTTATAATGTTTCAACAAAACTAAACATCAGTGAAACACACTGAGAATTCAAGATGAGCAAAACTGCAAACATATGAGGAAAAAAAAGAGAAGAAACACATAACCACACAGTGATCTTCAGAGATGCATTAAATTGACCATGAAAGTATTAGTAATGCTGTATATATGTATACATATATATATATGCACACATATTACACATACTCAGCATCTATTTGAAGTTCTGGTTCAGTATCACCAATATAGTACGTGGCAGGTTGACCAGATATTGGAATGAGTGTTGAGAATATTTTGCTTGGACTGTTAGGATACAAAGCTGGGCTTTTACTTTCTATGTGGCTAAGGGTTCCCTGCCTCATCAGATAGATGGCTTTGGTTCTTGTGTAAAAGTAGAGTAACTTCTAATTTGACTTAGTAGTGATTTTTGGGAATGAGCAGAGGGAACCTCTGCAATGTAGTTCCAGTTCCATTGTAAGTAATCACCTAGACTGCAGGAAGCAACTGGAGATGAAACTAACTCTTGACTATAGATTTGACTCACCACACTATCCTATGTATCAGGTGTGGCATCAGGGACTACACGCACCTGTCTCTGCTATTATGATTTTGAAATGACAGGGAGACAGGGGCTTACCTGTGTTTCTGTATCCTTGACCCTCATGTCCTTTGTCACTAATAATTAATTGTAACCACACTTAGCTAGTAAGTAAGTACCACTAATCCAAGTATCATTTGCTTCTGGGTAAACATGCACAGGACTGTGTGTTGATGGTGTTTATTTTACAGTATTTGTATACTGTGTTTCAACCATAACTTGAAAATTCTTAGAAGCCACAGACAGACTTGGCAGATTCAATAGGATGCATTTATACAAGTTATGTTTTGGTTAGAAACTGTAACTTGGATCAACAATTGCAGCAGAAGACTTCCAGATTCTATTGAATTCCAAGGAAGGGAAAGATAATGGTTCAGTTAAATTTCTAATGCAAACTTCTCTAATATCACAATTTTGAACCAATGTGTGCAATTTGATCTAACATGTCAGTTACCTTTTGGCATTTGCATTTGTTCACATTTTGAGTTCTGCATTCAAAATTGAATGAAAATAGGAATGCATTTGGGAGAACTACACACAAAAATGTAAATACTGGTGAAAAGAATAGTAAAATGACTTATATTTTGAAAATTGCTTGCAAAAATGTATTATGCAGTTAGGCAAGCTGCATTAAAATGTGTTAGGGAAAGGGGAGTTTTAAAAATGTACAATGCTTGAGATGAACCATATCTAACATTGGAAAAGAGAAACTCAAATGGAAAGATTTGTCTGTCTCTGCAGTGCTTCCATTTTCCTGCCCCTATATGCTTTTAGCTAACAATTGCTCATGACTCAGCCTCTATAATACTAAAAGGAATTATATTTTTTAAATTTAATTCTCTTGCATGTGGTTTTATATAGAAAAAGTCATAGAAAAAGAGGCAAACTGGTGTGGAGGTTAGAGTGATAGCAAGTTGCTGGGAGGTATAGGTTCTGCTCTGAACTGTGAAGCTCAGTGAGTAATTTTGGACCAGTTGCTCATTCTCAGCCTAACCCACTTCACAGGGTTGTTGTAAGGATACAATGGTTTGGAGGAATACTATGTAAGTTGCTTTGAGTTCTTGCAAGATGGAAGAAAGCAGGATACAATGCAATATAAGAACAGATCCAGTGGCCACAGCAAAAGAACTTCACATAGAATTTTGTATGAAATATTATTTAAAAAACCCAGCAACCTCATATCTACCAAATCTACGAAATTAAATAATGTGATCAATTTAGAGTGCTTTGTTAGACACTAAAGATCTGTTGTATGAATGTGAATGTGAGTTGCAAGACTGCAGAGAATGATATGCTAAGAAATGTCATGCCTGAGGAAGAATGCAAGATTGAATTGCAAATCTGCAAAGAAAGAGCACACATATAAGCAGACATGGATGCATGGAAAGATAAGGGGAGTGAATGAAAAAATAATAATTTTACCTTAAATGTTGGTGGTCTTCTTGGATTCCTAATATGCAGAGAGAAAGAGATTTGGTTAAGTGCGAGGTCAACCTAGCAAAGAGTACCCAGGCTTCTGTGAAAAAACTGGAAACAAAAAAAGACCCAGTTAAAAAAAGACCCAGATCTGTTAAGGATTATCTTTGGCAGGAACTGTATAATACAGGAAAACACATTAATATTATCAGCTCACACATGTACTCCTGGGTATATTAGCAGAATTGCAGAAAGGTAACTCCAGCACCACTGGCTGCACTTAAAAATTCTCCCACAGAGTTGCCCTTACTCTTTCCTTAAGTATTAATTGTAATATTTTGAGTAGATCCATTCTGAAGGCTAAAGTGGGGGATCATAAAATATAGGCCAATTCATGACAGAACCAAATGTAGTGATCAAGAGTTTACATTTTAAAAGGGGGTTCTAAAAAGAAAAAAAACAGCAGAAAATGAATCTTCATATAAAACTCTAAGCCGCAAAAGTGGGCAGGGAAGAGATGAAAGAAAGGAAGCCCTCCATAGACAGCTGGTTATCATCTTAATGCTGAGCCTACTTTTGCGCAACAAAGAAGATTTAATTCAAGAATTAAAAGCTTTCTTCTTGATTCTGTTGAGCCTAGAAAAGAATGTGCTTGTAAAGCTCAGAGTAAAACCCCAAGCCAGAAAGTTGAATTGCAAGTCAAAGACCCTAATGAAAGCAAAGATTAACAACTTGGTGTAGTTTTAAAATCTGCAGCTCCATTTCCAAGAAAAGAGAATAATAGCTTTATTATTTTGGCACATTATTTTGTGCCTATTTACAATTTGTCCAAGCTGTCTGATTGTTTGTAATTCTTTCTTTCATTTTTGCTAATACTTTTCTTTCCAGATGCAGAGCTAAGCTACAAGACTTTTCTACCTAAATTTGATATCGTGTAGCAAGGCTGTTGTCACTTTCTAATTCACAGATGACTCAAGAGAATTTGAATCAGTAGGAGGTTTAATTTCAGAAGAAGTGAAAGAAAGATACAAGCCAGTGTTGTAGCAGAAGTACTTGTGGTATTTCATGCCTCCCTTGTTAGAAGAACTTGCCTGGCCTTGATGAAGGACATTTGCTGGTCTGTCTCAGACAGCAAAAATCTCCTGGTTCAGTGATCAACCCGTCACTAAATATGCACTGATGTACATTTGTGTATGTGAACTTTTCAATTTCCACACCAACATCATTTCCACCCCCAACCCTGCCCAATAGGAAAAGAGGCATTGTCATTAAGATATACTTGTTAATTTTGCATTCTTTCCAGATTAGCTACTATAATGCCTTAGCCATTGTTCTTTGGTGTCATTAGCATGACTTATTTTTCAGGGCATACAAAAGTCTTTCTTCTCAGGGGTAGGGATTCAGAGCAACTGCCATAAACATGTTGCAGGCTTTTGTTTTCTGAACTGTTGATGCTTTTCACTGTATCTTTTGTTGGCATTTAACTGAGAGGGGCCCTGAATATTCTCCTTTTCTCTTTCACTATAAAAATGCATCAACAACAAAAATAAGCTGCCTCCTTCCTAACTGCAACAGGATGGGCTGGGGGTGGGGAGGGCTGTCTGTGTATAAGAAATACACAGCTTTTTCCATGCATATTTGTATTGTTCCATAACTGCCAATAAAAAATTGTAAATCACTTCTTACCAATATATTTCTTGTTTTGTAAATACTGGATTCAAGCAACAGGAAAACACATGTTTCACAACCACCCTCAGTTCATTGACAACCCACACACAACCCTTGAGTGTGGGTTACTGTACTGTATGAATCCAGTCTTTTTTAATGGATGAATTTTAGCATTTCATGGAGCACCACTTGCTTGAGTTGTAAATTATATGCATTCCCCTAATGGCACTATATACTTTTCCTTACAGGCTATGCAGGTTCACTGGTAGACTACTGGCCAATATCAAGTTGATCATCTAGCATTTGCTGCTTCTGGCAGCCCTTGTAAAATGGA